GATTTCAACAAATCTACCGATGAACTCCCATTTTTATCCTCGCTGTCAAAGGTTACAGAGAAAAAACATGCAAAAATTGGGTATGTGTTCCTGGTGGATTTGCATACTCTATATATTTGGATGGAGCCAGTTTCCCACATATGTTGCCTTAAACCCCAGTGATTCTTAGATCTGAAGTCTTGACTCGTCCCCGATGCGGAACAGTACAAACTGGATTTTCATCAAGCTATCGAACAATGAACATATTTACTTGCCCAATCCCATAGAATCCATGTATGGTATACATGCTAACATTTGGGGTATATTGATGGTAAATGTTACCATATATAGCATACATGGATCCTATGGGCAATGAAAGTTGAAAACTAAGACTTACTTGATGACGCAACTGGGACTGGAACCTACGGAACCAACTTAAACATCGGGATTTCACCCCTGGTGAAGCAACAGCTGGGAAGTTCACGGAAAACGGAGATAATCCATGATAATCCATGAGAATCCCCCTTTTGTAAATCATTGTCCTAATCCGAATGGTGATTCTCCATTACCGGATCCCAATTGACCAAAATACGGTTGAAAAATGTTGAAAAGATTTGAGACCAGCAACTCTGAGATCGTCAGCCCAAACTCTGACCACCTCTTACACCCCACCATGCAACCAAGTTCAATCTGGCCGTCACCAAAACTGTACATGGGACTTCCAACTCAAAAAGGCAAGTCCTGAGGATTTGTCTTGGGTGATGTATGGCATTCATTGTATAGCTATTTTGATCGGTTGCGCCAGGTTGCACCTCAGCTCTGTAAGAAGAAACAATAACATAATATAATATAATATAACATAATATAATATAATATATAATATAATATATAAAATAATATAATAGAATATAATATAACATAACATAATATAATATAACATAATATAACATAATATAATATAATATATAATATAATATAATAGAATATAATATAACATAATATAATATAATATAACATAATATAACATAATATAATATAATATAACAGAATATAATATAATATAACATAATATAATATAATATAATAGAATATAATATAACATAATATAATATAATATAACATAATATAACATAATATAATATAATATAACAGAATATAATATAATATAACATAATATAACATAATATAATATAATATAATATAACATAATATAATATAATATAACATAATATAACATAATATAATATAATATAACAGAATATAATATAATATAACATAATATAACATAATATAATATAATACAATATAACATAATATAATATAATATAACATAATATAACAGAATCATATAACATTAATTAATATCAATTATATAATTATACAATATAGGCTGGACATAGGCCACTGGAGCCACTGGACTGGAGCCTTCGTGCCTCGAAGCTGGAGGTACCACCGAGACCACGGGAACTCACTCATCCTGTAGTGCTGGAGAACTTCGAGGTCGGAAGTTGGTCCATGTTGGTTCCATGTGCCACGGTAATCTCAGCTGGGTACCTCAGCTTTCAGCATTGGAACGTCCATCATCAGTTGACCCCTATCTATTTTGCGGGAGAAACCAGAGAGCTCATATCAAAACAGAACATAGCATCCCATAGCGTTGGTTTTGTTTATAGTATATTATAAACGCTCTATCAAAAGCTACAAACAAATAAACGTGTTTCCCCGGCAAATGGATTTACATGGACTAGGAGGCTGAGGACGTAGTTTTAATGGATTTCGCCCGACTAAAATCAGATCAGCTTTCAAAAAGTGTTGCAAGGTGGTTCTCTTTGGGTGATTTATTCCAGGTAGGGTTTTCTGCTGTACATAGCTGCGGTAATTATTTCGTTTTTGACTTCGTCGGGCTGCGTTTACATATTTCATCCAGCTGCATGGCCTCCAGCATGTTGCTGTCAAATAAGTCACCAATATTTTTTTGGTATGGTTTGGCTGCACACCCTGCTTTGATCTGCTTTGCGCAGAAGCTGTGTCCTATGAAAACCAGGCAGCAAAACCAGAAAAAGCAGCTGAAAAGGGCAGGGACAACTGCTTGCATGTCAGTGCACATTTTGCTAAAATTGAAACAACGTGAAACCACTAAGTACAGCAAAAAAACGAACGCTCCACCACGGGGCTGCAACAAATCCCAGCAACAAGCAGGGACGTTAAAACAAAAAAACACAAAAGGCATTGAAAAACAGAACCGTGGAGCGGTCAGGTCATTATCCACCGAAACGGATACATTTCAGAGCTGCATGTGACTCGTGGATGTTTACAATTGCATCCACAAAATAATGGAACAATCTGGCACAAGTCATCACCGAAATGCAACGTGAATTTTGAAACTAAGACCCTGTTTCAGCGTCAACAGCGTTGTCGAATTTCCAAGGATTCCCCCAATCAGGAAACCTAGCTGTTGGTAAATGCGGCAAAGGACAGATATGATGCACGTTACACCCAGCTAGGTTTGCCATGCCACATTCACCGAAATGGAAGCATCAATCAACACACTGACTAGGAAAAATAGTATGGTTTTATTTTTGGGCAAAAACATCAGACCCGCATTGTTTCGGAAAATGTTCATGAACATTATTGATTTAAAATACACTGTGCAATGTAGAGTTGGGATTTAAAATTGCCGCTGCGGAGCAGGCCATTGTGAAGTTGGTTCGGACAGCCAAGAATTGCGGGGAGTCGGGAAGAAGGTTTGATACTTGAAGAGGTACCCAAACTCTCAACATTTAAAACCGGGTTTGAGTGGAAGGCAATACCAGATACTGTCAAAGACATGTATCGCTAGCTGGATGTGTTTTTTTGAGATAGGAGATGGGTATAAAATGTCCAGGTTTTTGCAACTGTTCACTTGCGGCATCTCCTGGGTTGGAGCATTTGGGGCGTTCAAACAACGAGTGGAAAACTGTTTGGTTGGTTTAGACAACGCCATGTTTGGTATGATGATTCCCCCACAACTAGTGTTTTGTCAGTGCAGTGCAATTCCAAACATTTGGGGACCTGGGGTGGCAATTTGTTGAACTGGGTTCGGTCACCTGCATAATCATTCTCGGGTTGGAAAATATCATGCTTTCCGGCAGCTGAACTTCTGTTTGTGCTTGTCCATTCTTGAAATGGATGCATTTAGATGGAATCTGGTTTCTTTAGACATCATAAGCAACCTGTTTTTTCATTTTTTCAGAAGTAGGTTTGTTTGAACATGGGATACCTCTGAATCCATTGGTTGATAATGGCTGGTGAATGTTGGGGATATATCGCCATTTTCAGACATCTGAGGTCAGCTTCTTCAGTCAGCAGGAGGGACCCTTGCTGGGGCCCCTGTGGGCTCACTGGGAGGGGGAGTGTTCTGCTGTGTAATAAGATCAAAAGGGAAACATACGATATCATACAATACATGTATGTCATTTGTATGTGTATATATATAATATTATATATATATATATTATATATATATTATATATTATATTTTTTATATATTATATTTTTTATATATTATATATTATATATAATATATAATATAATATACAATATAATATATAATATATAATATATATAATATATAATATATAATATAAAATATATAATATATCATATATCATATATCATATATAATATATCATATATCATATAATATATCATATATCATATATCATATGTAATATAATATAATTTAATATAATATAATATAATATATACATATATATTAAATTATGTATAACATAAAATATTTCATATAATATATATTTATATATAATATTTTATTTAATAATATATATTTATAATATATAATATTCAATATAATATTTCAATATATAATATAATATTATTTTATTATGTAATAATTAATATAGTATATAATACAACATAATTATATAATATAATATAATTATATAATATAATAAAACATATAATTATAAAATATACTATAATATACTATAATATAATATAATATAATATAATATAATATATATATATACGATATGATATATCATAATACAATACAATATAATGTAATATACAATATAATACAATATATACAATATAATACAATATAATATAATACAATTATATGTAAATATGTATTGAGTTATTGAATAGAACACAATACTCATCTACATAACCATATGCTATGTTTATAATTCTTATGCGCTGGGTGCCATTCGTTTCTATACAGCAAAGCCTTACATTTTGGTGGGTCAAATCTTAAGTGAATCTGCCGGCCAAAAGCGTCGCTTCCATTTGACATATTGCCTTGCCACCGGCATCTCTGCCGAGGTACGCGGAGTCTAGAAGAGTCATCCTGGCTTGTTGGAGTTGCACTTTCGTGGTTCGGGAATGGTTTAGGTTTCTTGGGGATCACAGTTGTTACTCTAGGTAACCATCCCAGAATATGACCGGCAAGAGGTCACCCCTTGGGACGCCATTGTGTTTACTTTACGTGGAATGTAGTTGACCCTACGCATTTTCTCCGTCTTCGCTTCCTTCATTGCAAGATTTTCATACAGAGATGCACATCCAGGCCTGAATATCATGCTAAATGGATCTAAATGGTCCATTTCTCAGTTGCGCGCAGACTGGGGACCACCAAAGCCACAGGATTTGAGTTCATCGACTCGTGGATTTGGTATCACCCGCCTGGGGCCGCAGATATTGGATTCTCAGCCAGCCATTGGACTCATTCCAAACATTACTATCACCATGCAGAAAACCACAACACATTGAAATTGTTCAGAGTTACTTGTACAAACACCAACCGTCTTACAAGGTCGGTCGTCCAACAAATTAGTTAGTTCTCTGCCCAAAAACGAAGAAAAAGTGATGCGGCCCCAATGCCTCCTGACAACTGATCTAGCGAATAACTTCGTGTCGGGAAGTCTGTTTCAATCTTCCCTCAGTTTAACATCTCACCATGCACACTGGACATGGGTTTTACATTGGTTTTACATGGTTCCACCGCGTTTCTCGTTCCCCCTTGGACCACCGCAGCAACTGCAACCGCCATGTTGCCATCCCTCCGTCGCCTGGGCGCCGTGGGATACATCGCCCGTGCCAAAGAGTTGGGACGCCAAAGCCTGCTGGGCACGTTCCACAGCACCGGCGAGCGCTTCGATGCCATCCTGAAAGGCCGGGAAAACTGATGAAATATAAAATGTTACAAAATCTTACAACATCTTTCAAAAACACATAACATCACTAGATAAGTTTTTTATATATTAAATATTAATATAGGCATATGATTGGTGAAATTATGATATTATGGACTTGAATTATGATGTTTGGGAATGATTAATCATGATTATGTTGCGACCTCACTGGCCGACCTCACCAGACATGGTTTGGATTGGAAGAACCACAGTAAAATGGGTGCCCAATGGTACGGGAGTTTGATTCTATGCGGGTATAGTTTCAGGCTCACAGATGTTGCTTGTGCAATGGCACGATGTGATGTTTTGCTATGTTTTGCTCTTGTGTGCTGTGGTATTGCCAGCCAGTGAAGTAGCATACACTGAAGGTGTTGGAATTTGTGTGGTTTGTTTTAGATTTTAGACCACGGTGAGTGATATTGTTGGAGTTGTTTATGGGTTGGTTTGCTGGTATTGGATTTGCCCCCTGGATAGGGTTTGGAAACAATTGCTCGCTGCTAATATTGACACGTTTTCTTCACTGGATTTGGGTGATGAACCGTTTTGAACCATTGTTTTTCTTGGCGGCAGCTTAAGACTTAAGACTCCCAAAGGCCCCTGCAATCTGACCGGATCGTTCCATAGCAGGTATGGAATGTGTGAAGGTTGAGGATGGCCATGTTGAGTTGCTCGGCTTACAGATCTGGGGCGAAGATGTTGAGATCGGTCCATACATACCATCTGAGTAGGGGCAATGGCTGCAGATCCAACAAGGATTGCTATCTGATTTTGCGAAAATGTTGTTTATTTTCATTTCATGATATTCCACAGCATTCCGATGGCAAATGCTTGAATTAGCCAGATGCTACCAGCCAAAGTATTGGTCTCTAAGGTTGCCCCCTTGGAATGTTTTTTTCTCGCGAGGTTTTCTAGGAATTTGAACACCATGTTCCCGTACCTGTCTATGCGGTCCCTGTTGGGGTAAGCCACAACTTTGTCAGCATTTTCTTGTGATGGTAAGATGGTGTACAACTTCCTGTGGCTGGTAAGTTCATAATTGATCATAATTGTAGCAGGTATGGCATGGCATAGCCACTTTTAAATCACTCACCCGCAAGATTTGCGAGTGTAAATTTGCTGTTCTATTAAATGCCTTATCAGCATCATGATAAGTTTGGAGGTGTGGAATATCCATTTACTCTGACCTCCTCTTCTTCAGGAAAACCGAACTTTCCTTTTTTTTGTCAGGTGTCAAAGCTAAACTGAAAACACCCAAATTTTGAGATGTTTTTTTCACAAGTTTCCCTCCGCAGGTTCTCTGAGATCCACACAAAGTTGAGCAGTGGATGGTGCATTTCCAAATCATGTAGTGATGGAGGGTAGATTGATATGTACGTATATCATCGTATATAAGCATGTGCCAAAAAATAGATTGATTAAAATCACATTCTACTCGATACTTGATTCTCTTGGATGTTCCATATCCCAATATATAATAAGATATATTTAAAGATGAAGAATATGAAGAGGGTATGTTGTGAAATGCTTCCGCATCCTTCGCCTCAGGTGCAAGGTCTTGGTGACAGAGGCTATGCAAAACAGCTACGGCACCATGCATGGCGGCTGCACAGCACCCCGGCATTCAGGTGGCGGGGTACTGGATCTCCATGGAGAAAATCTGGGAGTTGAAAGGTGGGGAATGGTGGGGAGATTCTGAGATGACGAACACAAAATCGAGTTCAGCAGCAAGAGTTGGGAAAATTGGCTTGCAAACATTGGAGTAATGAAGCTACACACGGAGGAGCTGCTTAAGAGGTGCTTCAAGAAAACTGTCTAAGAACTGCATCATATTCAAGCAAAGGGTGAAATTGAGCCTGAACACAACATGGACTTCATCTCGTTGTGAGGGCTGAGGGACTCCTGAAGGAGCGTGAGTTGGAACCGAATCCTTGAGGTCTCCAAGAAAACTGTTGCACATGATGAATATGGAGCTGAGATGTTGAGGTTTCCAGTACTGTAGAAATTTGTCAGCCATACCATGCCATACCCTTTGGCCACTTTGGCCATTGGGGGCCATTCACACCTTATTTGGGTGACCGGAGTGATGGCAACTCTTCTGTGCTTTGTAATTTCTAACACAACCCAATCATTGGTCGTTTCAAACACCTTTAACTGGAAGTATCTTTGCTCTTGGTGACTACTTCTCCAACATTGGTGGCAATGGCACCGTTTCATTTTTTTGCTAGGTCCCGTCCAAATTTCTTTCCGAGCTTTTTTTGGGATGATTTAGGGGTCAAATACTGGTGGTACTCTGATCCCTCACATATCAATACTGGTGGTCTATCTATCAACCACAAAAAACGCCTTGGTGGATCAACCGAGGCCACCATTGTGGACGTTTTGGGCACCATGGCCCTGCTCACCAAGGCCATGGCACACTGGACATGACCTCGACTCACAATCGAGCTTGACCTTTGTTGACCTTTGTTGACCTTGATGTGGCTTACCGTAGGTTACCTCTTGTGTTTTGAATATTTTTAAAATCTCAATCTTGGCTCTGGAGTTGAACATTTCATTGCTTGAAACATCTTGAAACCATCGCGGTGCCAGGACTCCCAGCGTCCGGGCGTCAGTGTGGAGATGAGCCAAAGCTTTTTGGCGCCGGCCAAGGGCGGCGAGGCGGGGCAAAGATTCGGCGAAGATAGCAGTCAGACAGCACCATCATGGTGAAGGTGAGATGAAAGTGTGACCAAAGTGAGCTAACATGAGGTAAAACTTGGAAAAAACAAAAAGAAGACCCAGAAGGGGACAGTAAAATGTTAAAATATAGTAGGTAATATAGGTAAGTCCTAAAAACGATATCAATTTACTATTGTTGCTTATTGGGGTATTGGAATTAGACCCGTACTCACATGCCCAGCAATGGTTTGAGGCTATGATACAACATGATACAATCAACAACTTATGTGAAGAAGTTATGATGAAGCGAAATGTACTATAGTAGAGTCTGTAGAGGATACAAAAAAAGATACAAGTAGAGTCTATACTACAGTATAGATATGTATAAATTAAATTAGAAGCAAACTTGGTGAAATTGCATGGGTCCCGATTTGTTTGAAGCTTTCACCCATAGCCTACTACGAATGCAATGCAACGTAAACTACGTAAACCTTATACTTATACCACTTAGTCAGGATGTTGGACCCACGCTCTTCAAGATAGCCTAGGTATGCCTAGATCTTGGTGCTGCTTGAAGAGTTTTGACCAATAGTTTTAGAATACTGTGTCCGGAGGTTCCTTGATATTTTCCAACAGCTCTTCAATAATTTCAATAGTTGTTCATGTTTGTTTCCCACATATCATATGAAAAATGATGAAACATGATGAAACAATATGTTTCCATGGAATCCATGGCTCAGCCTCTGGTAACCTGCCTCGAACGAGGTCGTCTTTGCCACTGGTGTGGTCACCAAATATGGCAGGGCCCTGGGTTTCACCGAGGCGCGGGGTGATATCACTTCCATATCCATCATAAATGGTTTATAATTATATAATATTATATAATTAATGGTTTAATAAATTTAATGGTTTATATCATAAGTGGTGATATCTATCATAATATTTTTAGTGGTTTATAATATTTTAATATTACAGTATATAAAAATGTTCTTGTTTGTAAATCACATGCATGTATATAGATGTATATAGATGTATAGAGTATAGTGGGTGGATCTTACATAGAACATCATAGAACTGGTTTTCCACATGTTTTCACCATCAGAAACCTGGTACATTGGGTCCTACAGCCTCCAGGCGCCCCTTGGCAGGTCCGGCTGACGGATGTGCACGGCAAGTTGCTGGCCACGGGGCGACACACCAAAGCCTTTCCAGCGGCCGGCTGACACGGGGCGAACCTCAGCGCCACTCATCGCTTTGCGGAAAAGAAGACGCCGGGCGATCGCAGGGGGCAGCAATTCACCTGGCATCTGTGCAGCTACTGGCTGACGCTGGCTGACATCTCATCCGTGATGAATATTCAAACTATTTCCAACTCATTTTGTACAACCAACACACAATCATTAACCTGGTTTCAGTTTCTGCCCCCACGAGCCCAGTGGCCAGAAGTGAAAATCGTTGGGCCCAAAATCAAGGTGATCTTGGTGAAAATCTTTTAAGGATCAGTGGGACGGTCAGGTATGGGTCCCAATTGAGGCATCGAATTTGATGGTGTTATGGTATGTTATTGGTATGTTATAGTGTTATGTTCAGCATGCTCAAAATCTGCGCATGCCGAATTCTTGCATTTTGAACCATGTCCGTGTTTGAATGGGGTGCAATGGACTCAAAGTCACATGTGGCCGGGGTGTTTTATATTGAATGTGTAAGTTGTTTCCCTTCCTAGCTGGCTGGTTCGGAAGTTCCGAAAACAAGAACATAGCAGAAAAATGTCAATATGGTCACTAGAGATCCAGGTAACCTTTTTCAATCATCAAAACGAATGGTCGAGCTACAGTGTTGCTTTCAATTTGGATCAGCTGGCTTACAGTCGTTGTTGGCTGTATTTGGATCAGCTGGCTTACAGTCGTTGTTGGCTGTATCAGAATTTGTTGTTGGTTAGTTTCCATTTTTGTCAGTAACCTTTTTTTGTGGGTAGTATTGTATCAATATCCTTGGATATTCCCTATCTATTTCGGGAATTTTCAGCCGTTTGTTCTGCTTCATCTTCCCCACCTTTGACAGTGCGTCGCAGATTGCTGTGAGCCAGGTGGTTGGCGGCAACCGAGAGGAATTGATGTTCCAACTGATCACTGCACCTCGGTCTTCAGCCAAAGGCTGACTGGTGGTTTAGGTTGTTGCTTTGGAACCCCAGGAATCCCCAAGGTACTATCATCCGCAGACGAGGAATCCAATCCAAGAAGCTAATCCACAAGGTAGCCATCGGTTTAGCACAGGGGAAACCTGAGTGAGCTTGAACATTATTGTTCAAGTGTTCTTTTCTGTTTTCACTATTCATTCAAACCAAGACTTCCTTGGTTCTGCAAAGCTCAACATAAATAGTCCAAAGTTACCGATCAGGGGCTCTCCTGTAGGTGCATAGAAGTCCTCCATTTTGAGACTGGCACAATTGGTCCCCTTCACCTTTCCATTTTGGAACGATTTGGCTTTGGTTCAAAATGAACCTACAATTTGGATTGTTGAGTTTGTGTTCCACTGAGATCCACTACTTTGGTCCGTCATGAACTTAGGCAAACAATACATGAGTAACCATTCAGAAAGGGTCTTTGTTCACCTGACGGTCACCAGGTAAATGTCAAGCTAATCACCTCGAAGATTCATGAAGATTCTAAATTGGGGATACCGGAGTCCCACCCAGGACCCTCCGGTAGTCAAACATGATCAATTGGAGATCCCCATCAAAAATGGCAGTTTCTGGCTGGGAAAATCACCTATTTTGATGGGAGATTTTGGCGCTTGGCCCCAAGGTGCCCAACGCCAAGTTGAAGGATGCAGCGGGGAAGCCCAACGCTTTCCGCATCTTTCCGCACATCCAATGGATGCTGAGTTCAAGTGGTAGAGATCTGAGTTGAACTAACCAACATAAGGGGGTTCAAGATGAAGTAGAATGAGAATTTTGAGATGATCGAAATCGATTTCACAATATTTCACACAGATCAGATTTTGTGGTGAACGAGGGGGTGAACCAGAAAAAAAGGCTTTGACGAACCATTTTGCAAATGCAACCAATTTAAGAACAGTTGAACTATGCTTAAGGGATCTTGAAACATCTTGAAACAACCTATGGCATATGGATCGAAGTCTAAGGCCCCACAGATGGACGAGATATGACGAGATATGACGAGATGAAGAAAAGTTGAGGACATCTTCGGGCTCACCTGGAGACACTCAGATGGCGATCACCGGGTTTGCCAATGAAGCGACCCAACTAGCGGCACATTTGCAGAGAGAAGGGCTACACACTCAGGTCATCAAGAAGATCCTTGAAATCCAGGTTGAAACATGTTGAAGCTGAAAAGGACCCAGTGGTTTCACCTCACCTGAAGACATTGCCTAAGAAGGTGGATCAACACTGATAATTAAATACATCCCCAAGTGATCCCAAGCCCAAGTGTATAAGTGTATAATTATAGTGTATAGAGGAAGCATGTGGAACCATGTTGGGAACCCAGACCAGTTGATAACATTAATAACATGGATAGACACAGAAGGCAGATTTCACCAATGGGAATGCTTCACCTAACAAGACCGAGATGATAGAACAGTAGATCTTCTGGTTTCTTTCATATCGGAACATGATTGGTCCAATAGAAATGCATGCAAATGCAGTATATATGTCCTCTGGTTTCTGCCTACCAAAATGGACAACTTATTCATTGACCCCTGTTTTTTTGCTTTCTTTGCACAAACAGCACACTTGCTGTAAACCCCCCGAAAGGATACAATTCTTGGCAAGTGAATCCACTTTGGGCACAGTTGATGCATTTGACCTGTAGGGCTATCATCCAGCTGAATTCATTTTGTGGGACGATTGATTCAGTTCTTATCCATTTGTATGGTCAGCGAAGCAACTCATTCTTGAGTCAGAAATGGATAAACCAAAACTACGACCAGTAAACTAGGAACTGTTTTTTTCCACTTAAGAGTTGGCCAAAAACAAGCTAAAAAGATTCTAATCAAAAACACATGGAAAAAATGGGAAAAAACACACTCAAACTCAGTGTAGCCCTCGGCCCTCCAGGTTCTTCCCACCTTGACCCAGCGCATCCCAGGCCTTGCAGTGCTTGAGCTCGGCCAGTGTTGCAGATACCTCCGCCAGCGAGGTGGAGATGATGAGATTTAGCCCATGTTGACATATTTTGGCTGCAAAAGTCTTTGGGATGTGACTAGCAAATACCAGCAAGAATGGAGACCTACCATGACCTACCTATCTATCTAATCAGCAATATAGCGATGATTTGCTATGTTTTTTGTTTCACGATTGGGGATGCATACATGGCAATTCATGATCCATGGGGCCATGGGGCGATTTTGTTTCATAATGTTTGACCACATTACATGGGTTTTGACCCATGCCCCAGTCAGCAAGAATGAATCAAGAACAGTAAAAACCTCAAAGATTCAGATAGCGCCAATCAAGTAAGCGATTTGTGATCTGAATTTCAAGACCTGCAACAATTCTTATTTTTTTTTGCTCAAACACTTTTGCCCCTAAGAACAGCAATCACTTTTGGCACAGTGACCCACTGTACGGAGTGGAACGTATCACCTGCAAAGATTGGGTTCATACTCTACCAATTAGGGACTTACGAACCAAAGAGATCCCGCTGTGCGTCAGATGGAATCCTTGATCGGCTTGCTGGATGTGAAGGGTCAGGTCTGGCCCACTGGTGTCACATCATCCTGTCATAAGATGGGAGGTTTAGCCAATCAAAATAGCTATGTAAGCTGTGTTCTCAAACGGTGAACAGCAGACATGGATATCATTCCATCCTTTGTTCATGACATTTCATGACAACCCTCCCCAAGTGGGACCCAAAAACAAATTAATGACATCAAATTACAGTATACAGATTTATATTGAAAGGCAAAACAAACCATGATGTCTGAAAGGAGAGGGAGGGGATTACGAAGCACGTAGAATGGACAGAATCAGTAGACAGTTCATTTCACAAGGTACTTTTGAGATTCTGAAGAGCGTTGATATTTGGAGATAGGTGACTATCATCCAAAAGCGAGATTAAGTTTCTACACCCTGCTGGATGCATTCCGACCATGTTGTATAATAAACATCTGAGTTGTATCCCTGTTAATCCCAAACATGATGGTCCCCGGCTGGGTCTAAGTTGGCTGCTATAGCTCTAGTCAAGTTCCGGTTGACCCCGTGATAATCTTTGGTAAGTGGCTGTGGGGCCCATTGATCAAGGCTTTGCAATGATGTGCAATACGTCCATGTATGTGTAAATTTACTGTATGCCAATATGTATAAGTATATGGTGCATATTTACATACGAGTCCCCAAACAGGAAACAACACAATTCTCCAAATTTAAGGGCTGCCGCCCCTGCCGCCGACCCCGGAATCAACGACTAGGGAAGGTGGGTTTTGCATCTGTAGTATTTGTTTAAATATCAACGTTCAAATCGCGGCACACCAAAAATCAGCGCAAACCTGGTGAACTTGGTGTAGACCGTGTTGTTCTGTAAAACGCAGGGTTGGTTTGGGGGCATGGTAAAACCCAGGTTTTGGTGTCAGATTATTGGAGATATCTTCAAAATAAGCTTCAAAATGGTAATGTAAATGCTGCACCAAGACCCCGCTATTTGGAAACCCGTCCATGCCGTTCGGCTTGTCATTTTCGTGGGCCGTGGCCGCATGCAAATGTGTGGCAACATGTCGTGACCTCGGGAGTTATGGGAGGGCCCTGCTGCATTTGGCCACCTCTGGCAGGGGTGGTAGGCATAGCATGTGAAAAATGGTGGTGCTGCTGCTGCTCCTGCTACTCTTCTGAAACCTATAGAAAAAATGATTGTAGCTACCTTTTCCTCCTGTTTCCTGCTGCTGCTGCTCCTGCTCCTGCTACTCCGGTGGCAGGCTGCGACGCCTAGAATCGAACCACTCCCAGCAGCAAATCCCCATGGCAGTGAAGGACGGAAAAGCATCAAAATTGCGCCCAAAAACTGCCTAATGTAACTTCTGAAACCCATAGCAAAAGATGATTTTAGATACTTTTTCCTCCTGTTTCCTCCTGCTGCTACTGCTGCTGCTCCTGCTGCAGCTACTCGTCTGAAACCTATAGAAAAAATGATTGTAGCTACCTTTTCCTCCTGTTTCTTGCTGCTGCTGCTGCTGCTCCTGCTCCTGCTACTCCGGTGGCAGGCTGCGACGCCTAAAATCGAACCACTCCCAGCAGCAAATCCCCATGGCAGTGAAGGACGGAAAAGCATCAAAATTGCGCCCGCAGCAAATCCCCATGGCAGTGAAGGACGGAAAAGCATCAAAATTGCGCCCAGAAACTGCCTAGTGTAACTTCTGAAACCCATTAAAAAAAATGATTTTAGCTACTTTTTCATCCTGTTTCCTCCTGCTGCTGCTGCTGCTGCTCCTGCTCCTGCTCCTGCTACTCCGGTGGCAGGCTGCGACGCCTAGAATCGAACCACTCCCAGCAGCAAATCCCCATGGCAGTAAAGGACGGAAAAGCATCAAAATTGCGCCCAAAAACTGCCTAATGTAACTTCTGAAACCCATTAAAAAAAATGATTTTAGCTACTTTTTCATCCTGTTTCCTCCTGCTGCTGCTGCTGCTGCTCCTGCTCCTGCTACTCTTGTGAAACCTATAGAAAAAATGATTGTAGCTACCTTTTCCTCCTGTTTCCTGCTGCTGCTGCTGCTGCTCCTGCTCCTGCTACTCCGGTGGCAGGCTGCGACGCCTAGAATCGAACCACTCCCAGCAGCAAATCCCCATGGCAGTGAAGGACGGAAAAGCATCAAAATTGCGCCCAAAAACTGCATAATGTAACTTCTGAAACCCATAAAAAAAGATGATTTTAGCTACTTTTTCCTCCTGTTTCCTCCTGCTGCTGCTGCTGCTGCTCCTGCTACTGTTCTGAAACCTATAGAAAAAATGATTGTAGCTACCTTTTCCTCCTGTTTCCTGCTGCTGCTGCTCCTGCTCCTGCTCCTGCTACTCCGGTGGCAGGCTGCGACGCCTAGAATCGAACCACTCCCAGCAGCAAATCCCCATGGCAGTGAAGGACGGAAAAGCATCAAAATTGCGACCAAAAACTGCCTAATGTAACTTCTGAAACCAATAAAAAAATCATTTTAGCTACTTTTTCATCCTGTTTCCTCCTGCTGCTGCTGCTGCTCCTGCTGCAGCTACTCGTCTGAAACCTATAGAAAAAAATGATTGTAGCTACCTTTTCCTCCTGTTTCCTGCTGCTGCTGCTGCTGCTCCTGCTCCTGCTACTCCGGTGGCAGGCTGCGACGCCTAAAATCGAACCACTCCCAGCAGCAAATCCCCATGGCAGTGACGGACGGAAAAGCATCAAAATTGCGCCCGCAGCAAATCCCCATGGCAGTGAAGGACGGAAAAGCATCAAAATTGCGCCCAGAAACTGCCTAGTGTAACTTCTGAAACCCATAGAAAAAGATGATTTTAGCTACTTTTTCCTCCTGTTTCCTCCTGCTGCTGCTGCTCCTGCTCCTGCTACTCTTGTGAAACTTATAGAAAAAAAATGATTGTAGCTACCTTTTCCTCCTGTTTCCTGCTGCTGCTGCTGCTGCTTCTTCTCCTGCTCCTGCTCCTGCTACTCCGGTGGCAGGCTGCGACGCCTAAAATCGAACCACTCCCAGCAGCAAATCCCCATGGCAGTGAAGGACGGAAAAGCATCAAAATTGCGCCCAAAAACTGCCTAATGTAACTTCTGAAACCCATAGAAAAAGATGATTTTAGATACTTTTCCTCCTGTTTCCTCCTGCTGCTACTGCTGCTGCTCCTGCTGCAGCTACTCGTCTGAAACCTATAGAAAAAATGATTGTAGCTACCTTTTCCTCCTGTTTCTTGCTGCTGCTGCTGCTCCTGCTCCTGCTCCTGCTACTCCGGTGGCAGGCTGCGACGCCTAAAATCGAACCACTCCCAGCAGCAAATCCCCATGGCAGTGAAGGACGGAAAAGCATCAAAATTGCGCCCAAAAACTGCCTAATGTAATTTCTGAAACCCATAGAAAAAAATCATTTTAGCTACTTTTTCCTCCTGTTTCCTCCTGCTGCTGCTGCTCCTGCTCCTGCTACTCCGGTGGCAGGCTGCGACGCCTAAAACCGAACCACTCCCACCAGCAAATCCCCATGGCAGTGAAGGACGGAAAAGCATCAAAATTGCGCCCAAAAACTGCCTAATGTAACTTCTGAAACCCATAGAAAAAGATGATTTTAGCTACTTTTTCCTCCTGTTTCCTCCTGCTGCTGCTGCTCCTGCTCCTGCTACCCTTCTGAAACCTATAGAAAAAAATGATTGTAGCTACCTTTTCCTCCCGTTTCCTGCTGCTGCTGCTGCTTCTCCTGCTCCTGCTACTCCGGTGGCAGGCTGCGACGCCAAAAATCGAACCACTCCCAGCAGCAAATCCCCATGGCAGTGAAGGACAGAAAAGCATCAAAATTGCGCCCAAAAACTGCCTAATGTAACTTCTGAAACCCATAAAAAAAGATGATTTTAGCTACTTTTTCCTCCTGTTTCCTCCTGCTGCTGCTGCTGCAGCTGCTTGTCTGAAACCTATAAAAAAATGATTGTAGCTACCTTTTCCTCCTGTTTCCTGCTGCTGCTGCTGCTGCTGCTGCTCCTGCTCCTGCTACTCCGGTGCCAGGCTGCGACGCCTAAAATCGAACCACTCCCAGCAGCAAATCCCCATGGCAGTGAAGGACGGAAAAGCATCAAAATTGCGCCCAAAAACTGCCTAATGTAACTTCTGAAACCCATAGAAAAAGATGATTTTAGCTACCTTTTCCTCCTGTTTCCGCCTGTTTCCTCCTGCTGCTGCTGCTGCTCCTGCTCCTGCTCCTCCGGTGGCAGGCTGCGACGCCTAAAATCGAACCACTCCCAGCAGCAAATCCCCATGGCAGTGAAGGACGGAAAAGCATCAAAATTGCACCCAAAAACTGCCTAATGTAACTTCTGAAACTATAGAAAAAGATGATTTTAGCTACTTTTTCCTCCTGTTTCCTCCTGCTGCTGCTGCGCTCCTGCTGCAGCTACTCTTCTGAAACCTATAGAAAAATTGATTGTAGCTACCTTTTCCTCCTGTTTCCTGCTGCTGCTGCTGCTGCTGCTCCTGCTCCTGCTACTCCGGTGGCACGCTGCCACGCCTAAAATCGAACCACTCCCAGCAGCAAATCCCCATGGCAGTGAAGGACGGAAAAGCATCAAAATTGCGACCAAAAACTGCCTAATGTAACTTCTGAAACCCATAGAAAAAGATGATTTTAGCTTCTTTTTTCTCGTGTTTCCTCCTGCTGCTGCTGCTGCTCCTGCTCCTGCTACTCTTGTGAAACCTATAGAAAAAAATGATTGTAGCTACCTTTTCCTCCTTTTTCCTGCTGCTGCTGCTGCTTCTCCTGCTCTGCCTAATGTAACTTCTGAAACCCATAGAAAAAGATGATTTTAGGTACTTTTTCCTCCTGTTTCCTCCTGCTGCTACTGCTGCTGCTCCTGCTGCAGCTACTCGTCTGAAACCTATAGAAAAAATGATTGTAGCTACCTTTTCCTCCTGTTTCCTGCTGCTGCTGCTGCTTCTTCTCCTGCTCCTGCTCCTGCTACTCCGGTGGCAGGCTGCGACGCCTAAAATCGAACCACTCCCAGCAGCAAATCCCCATGGCAGTGAAGGACGGAAAAGCATCAAAATTGCGCCCAAAAACTGCCTAATGTAACTTCTGAAACCCATAGAAAAAGATGATTTTAGCTACCTTTTCCTCCTGTTTCCGCCTGTTTCCTCCTGCTGCTGCTGCTGCTGCTCCTGCTCCTGCTACTCCGGTGGCAGGCTGCGACGCCTAAAATCGAACCACTCCCAGCAGCAAATCTCCATGGCAGTGAAGGACGGAAAAGCATCAAAATTGCGCCCAAAAACTGCCTAATGTAACTTCTGAAACCCATAGAAAAAGATGCTTTTAGCTGCTTTTTCCTCCTGTTTCTTCCTCCTGCTGCTGCTGCTCCTGCTTCTGCTACTCTTCTGAAACCTATAGAAAAAATGATTGTAGCTACCTTTTCCTCCTGTTTCCTGCTGCTGCTGCTGCTCCTGCTCCTGCTACTCCGGTGGCAGGCTGCGACGCCAAAAATCGATCCACTCCCAGCAGCAAATCCCCATGGCAGTGAAGGACGGAAAAGCATCAAAATTGCGCCCAAAAACTGTTTAATGTAACTTCTGAAACCCATAGAAGAAGATGATTTTAGCTACCTTTTCCTCCTGTTTCTTCCTCCTGCTGCTGCTGCTGCTCCTGCTCCTGCTACTCTTCTGAAACCTATACAAAAAATGATTGTAGCTACCTTTTCCTCCCGTTTCCTGCTGCTGCTGCTGCTTCTCCTGCTCCTGCTACTCCGGTGGCAGGCTGCGACGCCAAAAATCGAACCACTCCCAGCAGCAAATCCCCATGGCAGTGAAGGACGGAAAAGCATCAAAATTCCGCCCAAAAACTGCCTAATGTAACTTCTGAAACCCATAGAAAAAGATGATTTTAGCTACTTTTTCCTCCTGTTTCCTCCTGTTTCCTCCTGCTGCTGCTGCTCCTGCTCCTGCTACCCTTCTGAAACCTATAGAAAAAATGATTGTAGCTACCTTTTCCTCCTGTTTCCTGCTGCTGCTGCTGCTCCTGCTCCTGCTACTCCGATGGCAGGCTGCGACAACTCTGCTGCTGCTGCTGCTACTACTACTACTGCTGCTGCTGCCTTACTGCCACTGGCTGCTGGCTGCCGACTGCTGCTGCTACAAGCCCCTTTTCCTGCTGGTGTGCTAGTGCTGCTGCTACAACTCTAGTGCTGCTGCTGCTACTGCTGCTGCTGGCTGCTGGCTGCACCATGCTACTGAAGGACGACTACTGCTGCTGCTGCTGGTGCTGCTGCTGCTGCTGCTACAAGAGTCAAAAGTAGGTGTGCTAGTGCTGCTGCTACAACTCTAGTGCTGCTGCTGCTGCTACTACTGCTGCTGCTGCTGCTGCTGGCTGCTGGCTGCACCATGCTACTGAAGGACGACTACTACTGCTGCTGCTGCCTTACTGCCGCTAGCTGCTGGCTGCCGACTGCTGCCCACTGGCTAGTATTGCCGCTGACTATGTGCTGCCGACTGCTGCTGCTACAAGCCCCTTCTCCTGCTGGTGTGCTAGTGCTGCTGCTACAGCCGACTGCTGCCGACTGGTTAGTATTGCCGCTGACTATGTGCTGCCGACTGCTGCTGCTACAAGCCCCTTCTCCTGCTGGTGTGCTAGTGCTGCTGCTACAACTCTAGTGCTGCTGCTGCTGCTACTACTGCTGCTGGCTGCTGGCTGCACCACGCTACTGAAGGACGACTACTACTACCGCTGCTGCTGCTGCTGCTGGTGCTGCTGCTGCTGCTGCTACAAGACCCTTCTCCTGCTGGTGTGCTAGTGCTGCTGCTACAACTCTAGTGCTGCTGCTGGCTACTGGCTGCACCATGCTACTGAAGGACGACTACTACTACTACTACTACTACTACTACTACTACTACTACTGCTGCTGCTGCTGCTGCTGCTGCTGGTGCTGCTGCTTGTGCTACAAGAGTCAAAAGTAGGTGTGCTAGTGCTGCTGCTACAACTCTAGTGCTGCCGCTGCTGCTGCTACTACTGCTGCTGCTGCCTGCTGGCTGCACCACTACTGCTGCTGCTGGTGCTGCTGCTGCTGCTACAAGAGTCAAAAGTATTATTCCCTGGCGCGCTCCCCCTTGCGTCTGCCGGGGTCGGCGGATATCAGCAGCAAACAGTAAGGATTAGAATGCATGCTTTTTCAAGGGATCCATATGCATTGAATCATCACATAATATATATATATACATCATATCCCTGTATGCATGTATGCATCATTTAGATAGTCACACCTCGACTGTCAAAGTATCCGTGCAAATGGTACCTGAAGATGTTGGTATCCAGATGAACCAGTTGTAATTGGTGGCCGCGCCCACGCAGGAGTTGCAGTCCTCCTTCACATACCTGGAACGGGTGCGGATACGGATGGGAAGTGAAGCTACAGAACGCACGCACTTTGCGGTCATAAAAGGTCCTAGAGGTAACATTCTACTTGCGACAGTGATCCCCATCGACCACCATAAAGGAAAGCTTCTGCTGCCAAGCTTGAAGAAGCTCATTACCAGTTGGGTCCTTTTGCACGTTCATACTTATTTTAACTCACCAGTGCACAAAGGTTCATCAAGACAGGTGGATAAAGAGAACACACTGTGCCATATCATTGGTGCTGCAACTGGTACAATTGTGTCACATGTTCGTTGTTTCCAGGGGGGGGGATTTGCAAGGTAGCTGGGGTCGGGTTGATACTGCTTTGCCAGCATATTCTCACATGTTGCAGATCATGAGCCAGCTCAACAAGATGTTGACAGCTCAGAGTGGCTATGGTGCTTTGTCCCGCGCTCAGAACCAGGTGTGAGGCAGAATGGAAGTCTTTTGTGGCTTATGGATTCTAACATCCCAGAATTGTATGATGGACAATCTGCAGGAAACCCCTTTCAGTACCGGTAAAAACCATGGTTTCATATGGTTTCTATGTGTGTTGTTTCCAATTAATTCGCTCTATTATATAATAGCTGATTCCAGCTGATTAAAGGATTGTATCATTGGATTTTCTGGTACCCAAGTTGAGCCAAAATCATGCGCAACCAATAACTGGAACCTATGGATTGGGCTTGATATGCACTCTATGGCGGGACAAGCGCTGGCCTTCGTGGTACGAATTTTCCCTTGGGATCACTGAATCCAAAGATTGAAGAAATTGAAGTGCATCCATTGATTTTGAAGGGACTGCCAAATGCACTAATCATCAAGTGTTGGTTTAGGCCAACGACAAAAAGGTGACTCAAAGTGACCCAGGTCGTGAGTCCCTTATAGTCCTATATCTAGAAAACGTCTATATTGTAAGCTGCTGGTACCGTGACCTCACAACAATCTCACATGAAAAGTTGCGCATTGAAAATCCCTCCAGAATTCACATGGCGTAGCCACTTGGCTCTGAGCATCTCCAGGCTATGTTTCCATAAACTCCCAAAATTGGGGACCCAATTCTCTCATTACAAGAACCAAGAAGCTATCAACACTATATAGTCCCTAAGTCACTATAAACATTGCTAAAAGATGATGATTTTTGATGATGTTTGTTGGCAGTGTTGTTTCTTAGTATCTTGATGTATCTTGAGGGTCCCTAATTTTGAGACAACCTCTGCAGGATGTGTCAGTGTCACCGCACCAGCGGCCAATGCTTGAGCCGCAGCCCAGTGACCGTCGTGACTTCGGCAGTGCCCACTGTGGTGATTTCCGTGCCGGGACGTTCGGAGCAGGAGGAGAGCAACTTGGAAGCTCGGTGTGAATTTGTTTTTGGCTTGTAAGAACAAGGGTGATGTATGGTAGTATTTATATAGAATATTTTAGAATGACAATAAATGACAACAAGTGGTGGTGGTGGTGGTGGTGGTGGGGGTGGTGGTGGGGGTGGTGGGGGTGGCGGTGGCGATGATACAATGATGCAATGATGCAACGATGATGCAACGATGATGCAACGATGATGCAACGATGATGCAACGATGATGCAGCGATGCACCGATGCAACGATGCAATGATGCAATGATGCAATCTGCCATGATGCAATGATGCGTTGATACAATGATACAATGATACTATACTGATTATAGTAACTTTACAGGGTCGTAATACGACTCACTCAGTGGGTGAACCTTAGATTTCTGAATACCTGCAATTATTTTTGAAGGGTTTTTAACTATGTAACAAGCTGCAGGATTTCACATGGGTTTTGGATGATTTTGGAATGGTTGTTCAAGTAGGATTGCTTGGCAAACCTTGGTGAGATGGAGATGGCAGCGAAGCAAAACTTGTTTTTTATTTTTGTGAGGGATAATTATGCAAGATGAGGGGTGAATAGATGCGGTAAGCCAAAGGATAGAGGATACCAAAGTTTATCCTTTTGGGTGAGTATAACCATATCCAATTTGGGTTTTGCTCTGGGTTTGACAGTGTGTTTTTATTTCCACATTTATGCTCTGGCAGATGAGCAACTGAAATCCAGTTGATTGCCTCGTAGACGGTCACACACGGACAATGATTATATTTTGTTAAGATAGGTGTTCGGCCATGGTCGGCAGTGAAAAAGTCCGATAGACCCCATATCGTATTGATTCCCTAATGCTTATGGGACTGTGCCGGGAAAGCAGGATTGTTTTCAGTGGTCCAGTTTTGGCGGAACTTCTGCTGGATCAAACTTAGCTATTCCATCAGCGTCACTCACTCGATGTTGCAACAACACTGCTGCAAAACACGCCTTCCAAACACATATTTGCAAACTGGTTCTGTGTCGATTTGAGGAAGACCTACTTAAACCCATGGTTTCAGCATGTTTCAGCATCCAAATACAGAGGTTCCCAGAAATTTGCCTCTAAACCAACAGTGGGCAATGTCTGAGATCATTGAATTCCTGGAGACACACCCTCCAGTGCGATAGCCAATTGAGTCAATTGAGCGACCTTGAGCTCCCCCTATTGGGAATTCCATGGAGTTTCACATTGATGTACTAGGTTAGGAGATGGAAGTAGGCTCCCTAAGCTTCTAAAATCTCCTAAATATGTCTCACGTAGTGGACGTAGCTGTCCCCTGTGATAGTTAAAGTACACTAAAATCCCAACCGGAATTTCTCTGTTTTGCCTTTTCTTTTCTATCTCTTTCCTGCACTCCAAGGACAGGATTAAGGTGGCAGAGCAGTGGAAAGCCAGCGAGTCCAACCAGGTCTGGGAGGGGACATCCCTGAATGATCAGGATTGAAAGAAAGTATTGAACCAAATAGAATTCTGGGTTGAATCAAGAGAATATTGGGACATTTGGGGAATATACCTGAATTGGTGATTGAACCAAACACACACTGCGATTCGGATTCAATGGAAGGGGATGTATGCCAAATGTCATTCACAAAACTTGACAAAATCAGTGCTCTCACGACCACGTCCATCAGTCGGCAGTACTGACATCAACGTTACTCGAATCAACTTTGGATAGCCCGGTATATCATATATCACCTGAATTCACCAAGCTCATCTAAGGTCCTACTTGTAGTTGCATTTTCAGTTGGGCTCTAGATCCACTAGCGTCCCTATTCGCTGGCAAATTCCTGGTTTTCCTATGTTTTCCTTTCCTTTTCATCCCCCGTTTCTGCGCTATTTCTGGATGAGTTTTCCCCTATTTTTCTCGCAATGTCAAAGTATTTCTCTCAAACTGTCCTCATTACGCGTTGTTGGTCGCAGCCTGTTGTTCCTGTGGCGGTATAGGAATCCACCAAGTCCGACAGAGACAAGGTTGAGGAGCGGTGCGCAATTTGTGGACGTAAGACAACACATCTTTGATTTTGCAAAAGGAGGTTATGGGAAGCTTGTGGACCCAGGTAACTTCAGTGAAAATTTTGTGTGTATGACTGTATGACAATTTAAGGAGACCTGGCTAGAGGTAAGGTTGTACAAAACACATGAATGGAAAGATCAACTTGATGGCTTGAAATCAAGTTCCCTTGCTTCAATGCCAGGTTGAGGTTGAACATTGTTGATCCTGTCTTAGGAGATTGTGCTCCACTTGAAAGGAGATTCATGACTGGGACAACATGGGATAACCATCCCCAAACATAATTGCGCTATTGCGCTGTTGAATGGCCATGGCCCACGGTCAGATTGCGCTGTTCAGATTTCAGTTTTCATGTTTCAGTTACAGCTATCTACAGCAATCCCCTGGAAACCAGTGGAGAGCCCTCAGAAGAACGGTTTGGAAGATATTCCCGTTGAGGTCCTACCTTTGGGTACCAACCTTTAATTCTTCTCATTTTCTGGAAGTCCTCGAGAATACGCTAGAATCATCCTTTTTCTGACACATATATAATATTCTATATATTATATAATTATGCATAATTATATTGTATATACACACATGGTTATACATGTATAATTCAAAGCATCCATATTTGTGCCTAGTGGGCTGTTTGTGGACTACCTAATTATATGCATTGACATCCTTCACGGACTTTAGAGTCGAAGAGTTCAGGATGCCGCCGGCCCCCTCGCTAGGAGTTCACACTGCACCGTGCAGTGGAGAAGCTCCGGGTCTTCTACCGAGTGATGTCACTTGGACGCGGCAAGGAGACTTGGGACCCAACCAGACTCATCAACAAATGGAGAAACCATGAACATTCAGCAATTTTGAATGGTTAATAGAGGAAAATGTTGAGCATTGTTCTGTTGACCCATGGCTCTAAGTTCTTGTTGGCGAGAAAATCATTGAAAAGTCACCTTGGGATTTTCATATTTTTCATAAGGGCATCGCTCTTGAGCCATCTTGAGCCCATCAGCTTGGATCCCGTGTCTCATCAACAGCGTTACGATCTGTCGGGGTCCAAGCACATCCCAGCACCAAAAATGGTGGCGTTTGTGGCCTATAGTGACCATAGTGGCGGGGAATCATCCCAGAAACAGGTGCATGGGTCAGTTCACCCAGGTGCATGGGTCAGTTCACCCAGCTGCGTGGCTTTTCACTGTCACAATCTGTCGCAGTTTGCGGCTAGTAACTGCTAGTACTTGTGGATGTTCATCTTGCCATGTCGATGGTCCCATATCGCTTGATCCTATGAAATTGTTAATTTCTGGTTTGCAAATCAAGGGATGGTTTAAGGGAACATAAAACACAGACTCCGTCATTTGTTCATTGGATAGGAGTTTCCTGCAGATTTCCCCTCCACTCTCGGACTTGCCAAGGCAAGTGGCAGCCTTCACCTTCTTTGGCGGAAACCTGGTTGGAATGCTAAGTGAAATCCTGTGGCGCAGCCTTCCAGCAGGGCGTGTGACGGAAGGCCTGCGGACTCTGCAAGGTTTGGGCTTGGCTCAAAGATGGGATGCCAATGGACTTCAATGGACCCACACCACCAGCATTTGGATAGCCCAGGCAAGACACCTGATAGTTCCTAGTATGTTCTAGTTGTTCCATCCCCGTCGTGTGAAATACCATAAAGCACTCCAGATCAAAGATATACGGGGCCATATGGGCCATTATTGATAGGGTTCTACATTTGGTCAACCAAGAAGAGGTTCAGCGGCTGAACCTTGCACTGCTGAACGCTCCCAGAATTGTTCAGAGATCCAATACTAAGCCAGGCTTTTAATCGGTATTTAAGGTATACTTAGCGGGAAGGGACTAGTTGGTTAGTAGGGTACCCTAAATGGGGGAGATTCACCGAGACATAGGACATTATCTCACGAGGCATGATGGTTAGTTCAGTTAAATGTACTACTGACCATGTCTAATTGGTTAATTGGGATTTCTTTAGGCCACGAATTGAAAATCCGAGGAACGAACGGCTTGAGGATGACAGGCTTGGTGATAGGAGCTGGCCATAGGTCTTCACTTGTTCAGCCTACCATGAAATTTCGTGGTGACTGGACCCAAGCTATTTAAAAGTCTAAAGCTACATGGATCTACCTGATTTTATCTAAAAGTTCACATAATAAAACAATCATGTGTCAAAATCATTTTCGAAATGATTTGCATTGCTGCAATTGTTTCTGTGCCTTTTGCTCTAGCCAGGTGCATCCGAGAGGTTTAGTACCTGGATGTAGAACCCATATGACGTATGACTTCTATCTTGCCAATGTTGGCAATATATATTATATATATGGTATTATATGGTGTGTATTTGTGTAAGCATATTGGCTATGAGTATGAATGTACGATTGTATATAATGTACATAGAATTTATGTTTGCAATTCATGTACCCAAATGTGTATACATGCACTATCATTCACATCCATTCACAAAGTAGCAATAGTCCATAATAACTACCCTTATCTTGAAGTATAACAGGGATAGTATAGCATGGACAGTAACAGGGATAGTATAAGATAGTCATATTGTATGATATTCTATCATCCCAGAATTGACAAAACTGCACTTGAACTGAGGTGTTGTGTCCGGGATTTCCGCTGTGGGTTGGTTTCTGACCACCTCGACAACCGTGGTGATCCTGTCCAGCTGCCCCATTGACGAGCTTGACTTCGAAACTGGGATCAACCGACCGCCCTGGTGCTCATGGATGGGAAAAAAATGGTAGAAGGGGGAAGCTAGGACAAGACAGGTTGTAGGTCAGGTGGGAGGCTGTTATGTTTTTGTTCAATCTTGTAATCTGAAGTGTTTGACTGTTTCTTTTGGTTATATTGCTAATGTTTTAAGTTGTTGTAATAATGTTTGGTTTCAATGAGGGTAGGTTTTGTTGAGGGTGTTTTGCTTGTTATGTTTTTTATGTTCTTGTTCAATGTTTCTTCCTTCCCTTTGATGTTTTATGTGTTGTATGTTCTGTTTTTTGTTTGTCGCTAACTTTTCTGGGGCTTTCTGTTTGAATGTGGTCACGATTTGTTGAGGTTGTTGTGATTTAACCATCTGGATATGAGGGAAATGTTGCGTTAAGGTAGTCTATGATTTCTTGGTGTTTTATTCGTTTCATTTCTTCATCAGTTTTCTTTTGTTGTTCTATTTGTTTGGGGTTAGGTTTGTTCAAGTGTTTTTTTTATGTCGTTGGGTTCTTTCGTGTCTTAACATTTTGTTTCTTGAAATCTCAATTTTACAAATAAGACATTCAACCTTTTCTTTCTGGTTCTCAAGTTTTTGTCGTTTGGATTGTTCATAGCGTTCGCGCTCTTTTTGTCTTAATTCTTCTCGGTGATTTTCTCTATAATGCTGTTTATACTCACAACATTTTTGACATAATGCCTTTACATTAGCAAAGTTTTCTAGAGTTTGCGTCTTTTTACATTTTGAACATTTCCTACCTTTATGTTCGTTCATTAAAGTGTTCTGGGACTATATCTTCAAATGTGTTTCTGGGTCTCAAAGATTACTTCATAATATGTTTAAGCGGAAGTTCCACTGTTTCATGACTTTGGCAGAGACTCAATGTCCTTCAAACTCTTCTTGCACATCATCACAGCCTTGGAGTTCGTGAACAACATCCTCATTGCACCTCGTCAGCACTGGTGTTCTTGCAGTCCCAGACTTCTGCTGTCTTGTGTTGCATTGCATCACATTGCATGACATGACCTGTTGCTCATTGCATTTCGCAGCACTGGCTGTTGCTCAACATGTGCAGACAAAAACGCTAAACTCCTCATGGCTTCGAGAGCTTGGGCGTGGCTTCGCGCTAATGCAGCACCGCTGGGCGTTGTGACGCCCGTTGTCGGCGTCTTCGCCTCCTATGCGTGGAATGCAACTGATACCCACCGGATGGCGCGCAAAATCCGCAGAGGATACTTCCAACCAGAGGCTCCTGCGGACTACGACCACCGGTTTTGCCTGTTTGACAGGTACATGATGGAGAAAGCTTCAATGGTCGGCCTCGTTGGGTTAAAATCCACAGGGAAGTCCAGCACTTTGTCGCACTTCCTGAGAGAGAAGCCGAACCGGTTCTACCTCAAGCTCACGGATGGCAACGTCTACGACGCAATGTATGACCAGATGAAAGATTCAGTCCTTTGTCTCCCCTTCTTCGCAGACTATCTTCGGTGGATGCTAGGAAAAACAGCGAGAAGATCGTCATCGAAGTCTTCAAGTTGGTGCGGGAGCAGACAGGCTCGCCGGTGCAGGTGGGGGTGGATGTGGTGTTGCCCGCCAGTGCAGTGGTCTCACCAAAGGCAGACCAAGCAGTGAAGACTGCGCAGAGTGTGCTGTTGGGAACGGCAAGCTCAGTCCCAATTTCCACCGCAATCCACGTCCACCAGCTCGTCAAGGATGTGAAGTGGCTTTGTGCTGACGCGAGGGTGGCTTCGGCAGTCATAGCATCCAGCGAGGGCTTGGAGCTTCTGAGTGTGAATGAGCCAAGACTTGAGAAGCTGATGGCAGAGGAGATGCCGGTCGAGAAAGCCAATGACTACCTCCAGCACATCCACGCCAAGGGCTACACGGAAGAGATGCTCAAGAACGTCCCGCGAACCTTCGAGAGCCTTCAAAAGTTCAAGAGAGCACAGGACAAAGAGGCATTTTGCAAGAAGGAGATGAAGGGGTGGATGATGAAAGTGAAGGAATCTCGAGAGCACTGCTCCCACGACGGCAAGGATGGAGGTCTCAGGGCTGCGAAGGTTCTCTACAGCAAAGCGCTTGGTGGAGCGGTCGACTATGACGACATTCGCCAGCACTGCAAAGATGTGCAGAACTTCATGGCGAATTTCGTGAGACCCAACCTCTTCACCCCCACACCAGCTGCAGAATACAAGTTCCAATTCGATTGTGTAGCCGAGGCAGCGAAGACTGTGTTCGGCCTGTAGCCACTGTAAGTTTGAACAGGTACAGGGTGTAGAGTGAACAGCAGAGAGATGCAAAAGTGTGAGCATCAGCATCAGAGCACGCGATGATTTTGTCAAATAAACAAATGAACAAAGCTGTAGCACAGAAGTTGCAATCTTCGCGCGTTGTTTGTTTCTGCGTTCCCTCATGCCACCCACCAGTTGAAGCGCTTGCGCTGAGGTATTGACATGATGGAGGAGAAGGGGGCGGACTACTCTCCCCTGCACACACATCCCACACATACAACATAGTATATCCCCCCTACCCCACTCATTCACCCCCCTGTTTGTCAGAAGGGACAGCGTCGCAACGGTCTCACCAAAATATGGGAACAGGAAAGGGTTTCAAACACATATATATATATTTATATAAATTTGTTGTTTCATTTTTAAAAATCCATCAACTGGGAGGGAGCGACACGCTCTGGGGTGTGGAAGTTGCCAAAAAGCATATCTCCCAGTTGATGGTGGCGGATTTTTTACAAATGCTTCGCTTCAATCCTGACCTCGAGCATCAACGACGTGGTTGGCACACAACTGACATAAAATGCTATGAGACTTTCCGCGCAATCTGGCATAGAATTTATGAGACATTCACGACATGAAATCTTTGAGACACCTGTAGGAACAGTATTTCAACAAGTGTCCTGAACTGCTCTTTTTTGACCCCTTTTGACACCATTTGAGGACACTTGTTAGGACACCCCATTATTCAACATAAAACCCAAAAATACTTAAAAACATACCGCCTTATATAATTAAGAATTGAATATGCCCTGCTATATGTATATTAACGGTATGAAGCAAGAAATGGACGAAGACCTTTTCGACCAAATGGCGGCAGCACTACACCAATCCAGCAACCCCCACAATCCACCAACAGCAACATCCACAAGATGGAAACAGCCAGAGGCTATTTTAACGACTTCAAGAAGTCGTTATAAACCCGACGGAACTTACGACAAGAAACCGTTAGACCCCAATTATTTTTCAAAGTATTATCAAAAGAAATTATTAACTCCTTTCACCTGCCCTGACTGCGGACGCACAATAACAAGCAAATCAAATCTATCAAAACACCGTCAAACCAACGTTTGTATGAGCAACAGACGCCATTGATGAAACGTTGAACTCAAACCTCAATCCCAGAAATTCCAACAGGAGACCAAAATCCAAAACTACTTAAAGAAATATTACCTTATATAGAATAGAGAATATGGGAGAGGGTGTAAGGTTGAAAAATCAGACTAATATTGAAAACCAACACAACCAACAATCCAATCAATCTCAACAACCTCAACAGATAAATTCAACTGAAAAACTACTTAAAAAAACATACACTAATAATAATATAGAACATAATATAATGAACACTTCAGACCAGATTGTTTTAGATTACATTTTGTCAAGTGAAACAGGCGAGATATTGAAACGGAATGGAGAAGAACTTAAGAAACTGAAGATAGGTGAGAAGACCTACAACTTTGAAAGGAACAAACCCATCACGAACAGATTGAAAACCAAATTCAACAAAATTAGACAGACTATGGACTACAAAAGATACGAATTGAAAGAGAAGAGAGGCATTAGATGGATAAATTTAGACAAGGACAAAGCCTTAACAGGAATACAAAAAAGATACAAAGCAACCATCACCGACGAACAGTCAGCATTCAAGAATTATACATCATCTTATGCCATCAGCGACATCAGGGTCAAAGGCGTCAAGGCAATACAATATCTAAAATATCAAGACTTCAAGATAAGAGAATACTTACGAAAACATAAGGGAATGAAGGTTTTATTACAAACCTTCAGCAACTTCAAGAGCAAGAAGACTAACGAAATTGTGAGAAGAGAAGTTAGGAGCAGAAGATATGAAATAACTAACGAAGACGAAATAACAAATGTATTGAACCAGATGGCAACAGACATTGAACATCAAGCGGAAGTATTAGAAATGTTTGAGAGTGGATTAGTCCTAACGCAGATGGATAAGATAAAATTTAACTTTGATAAATACAATCCAACTCGTGAGGTAAATTCATACCTTTACCTAAATGGGTTCAAAACAAAAAAGCGTGTATCAACATCAAAAACGAAGATAATAAATGCTTCAAGTATTCCGTTCAATGTGGTATATGCAAAGTGTATGAGAAAGACCATCCCGAACGACTGTCTCACTACAAAAATTTTGATGATAAACTGAATTGGACCAATGTAAATTTTCCATCATCAAACATTGACATAGATACTTTTGAAGAAAACAGTGATGGAAAAATAGCAGTCAATGTTTTTTCTCAATCCTGAAGATGATAAACAGTCAATACTTTTGTATAGAAAAACAAAGGTTAAAAGAGCAACTCATCAAATCAGCCTTTTGAAACTTGAAGACGGGGATGACTACCATTATGTTTATATAAAAGATTATGATAAACTTATAGGAAGTCAGACCAACAAACACAATGAAAAAAAATATCATTGCTTTCATTGTAATCACGGGTTTAAATCACAAGCACTTTTAGACGAACACAGTGAAAAAGGATGTATGGCAGTTGAAGGACAACGAATAGAAATGCCATCCTTTAACCCCGATGACCCCGACAAGTTCTTCATCAAATTCAAAAATAATTATAAAAAACTAAAAGCACCGTTTGTTATTTATGCTGATTTTGAATGTTTGACAACAAGAACGGGGACAGTTTCAACGAAAGAAATGAAGACTGATAAATACCAACATCACAGACCCTGCGGTTTTATGATTAATGTTGTCAATAGCATTGATGGTTCAAACGAACCCTTCTTATACAGAGGCGAAGATTGTATGGATGTATTTGTTAAGAAGATGATTGAAGTAAAAGATAAGATAATGGATAAGATGAAAAAAACAAGGACATAATAATGAGAGCGGATGATTGGAGAGACTTTAAAACAGCGACGAAGTGCTTTATATGCGGTAAAGACTTCAAAGAAGGTGATAAAAAGGTTAGAGACCATTGCCATTTTACAGGTAAGTATAGGGGATGTGCCCACGATGACTGTAATTTACAGTTTTCAATGAGATATTATAAAATCCCTGTTTTCCTTCATAACCTCAAGAACTATGACAGTCATTTAATCATTGAGAGGGCAAATGAACTGTCAGAAAGGGGTAAGATAGATGTAATAGCACAGAATAGTGAAAAGTTCATTACCTTTGCTTTTAAAAACCTTTGTTTCAAAGACAGTTTTTCTTTCTTATCGTCTTCGTTGGATAAGTTGGTGAAGTTGAGTAAGTATGAAGACGGAGAGAAGAAACAAAACTGGCAAAACAACTTCAAATTTAGCAAAAGAAACCCTTATGTGAGTAATGATGAGGATTTAGATTTACTGACTGATAAAGGTGTATATCCCTATGACTACTTCACTTCATTTGACAAATTTAGAGAAAAACAATTACCCCCAAAAGAGGCATTCTACAGCAATCTCACCGAAAGTAATATTGAAGATGATGAGTATGAAAGGGCACAAAGGATATGGGAACACTGCGGTATAAGAAATCTTGGACAATACCACGATTTGTATTTGAGAACCGATGTTCTTTAGAGACCTTTGTTTGGAATACTACGGTTTAGACCCCGCACATTATTTTACCCTTCCTAACTTTGCTTGGGATGCTATGCTTCTAAAAACTGGTGTTGAAATAGACCCTTTAACTGACCAAGAGATGTATGAGATGATTGAGAAGGGTTTGAGAGGTGGTATGTGTCAGGTAAGTCATAAGGAAGCAAAAGCAAATAATAAGTATATGATGGACGACTATGATGAAAACAGACCATCTAACTACATCAATTATTTAGATGCTAATAACCTTTATGGACTGGCAATGTCAATGAAACTACCCATAGGAAAACTGAAATGGATAAAGAAGATACTGACAGAAAAGATGATAATGGACTGGAATGAAAACGATGACAATGCCTACATACTGGAAGTTGATTTAGAGTATCCAAAGGAAATACAGGACGAACAAGCGGATTACCCATTAGCACCTGAAAATATGAAGGTTGAAGAGAAACTACTTTCAAAGCACCAAAGGGAACTACATAGACATTACTATAATGGCAAGGAGGCAATTGATGAGAAACAACCAAAACTTATCCTAAACCAAATGGATAAAACCAACTATGTAGTCCATATCAAGGCATTACAGTTTTACCTTCAAAAGGGTATGAAAATCAAACAAGTTCATAGAGGGGTGAAGTTCAAACAGAGATGTTGGTTGAAACCTTGGATAGATTTTAACACTGAAAAGCGAAAAGTGGCAAAGAGCGATTTTGAGAAAGATATGTTTAAATTGATGAACAACGCTGTTTATGGAAAAACGATGGAGAATGTCAGAAACCATATTGACTTTGAATTAGTATCAACCATAACAACCACAACAATTCAACACACAAACCTAAACAAAAACATAACAACCGAGCAATGAACAAACAAACAACAAAAATAATGAAACAGGAAACAATGAACACTTAAGAAAAAATAGCCCCAGAACCCCCACCTGAAAAAAACATCAACGGAAAGGAAGAAACATTGAACATCAACATAAAAACATAACAGGCAAAACACCCTCAACAAAACCTACCCTCATCCAAACCAAACATTATCACAACAACCTCAACGAAACATTTAGCAAAATTATCAAAAAGAAACAGTCAAACATTTAGATTTACAACATTGAACAAAAACATAACAGCCTCCCACCTAACCTCCAACCTGTCCTGTCCTAGTTTCCCCCTTTCCCCATTTTTGTTATGGGTCTATAAGTAGCATTAAGTAGCTAAGTACTTGATGGATCTTGATGGGGTTTGAGGCTTTGAGGCAAGTCACCCAGATAATGTTTATGAACTAAATTGGCAGAGTAGGCGCCCATCACAAGGTGAAATTACACCTAGAGATTGTCCATGAAATTGTTTATTTACATTTAGCCTCAGTGAAGAGACCGCCTTTCCCCATCACATGATTGGTCACAGCTGCTAATGAAATTGACCCAAGCTTCGTGCTGGGCCGGATCTTCCCCCAGGATATCTTCGTCTCTTCGAGACCTGCGGTGTGCTTAGCTCTGGGCGTCGCTTTGGCGTTTCCTAGTGGCTGCTTGGTGGTCGAAAGCCTCAGAGGAGAGTTGAGTTTTAATAGATGGGATAGTAAAGTGGCCGGGTGGCCGGGTCAGTCTGGACTTCCTAAATGAAATCCTGAATAGTGAGATATAGTGAGATGATATACTCTACTTATCTACTTAAGAGTTCATAGTGTCAAGGCTTGATATCTTGCGTGATTCCCTGACATTGGGTCCCGGTCAGCAAAGTCACCTTTAGATGTGCTGGTGACCGAACATCCAAAAGCTTGGATGGACATGGACCCCTTCAGAAGTAGTGTCATCATGTGTCATCATTGAAGGTTTCTGAAGAAAAAACATTGTCAGATATTGTGGGAAACTCAAACAACTCAGCTTCGTGTTGCACTGAAAACCAACATTGGAATCTGGAACGTTTGGTCCACACATTTTCAGATTTTTTCTGGGGGGTTACCCTCGGCCCCCCTCAGTTCTCGTTTCAGAAACACAACCCATTTGGTGAAACCACTACATCCTGGTTGATCTGGTTGTACATCGTGGTTGTACGGGGGGGACTCCTGTTTTTCTTCGTTCGAAGTCGAATGTGTGATTTTTTCCCGAGAGCGTCTGAGCGCAGGGTTCTTCCAATAGTGGGGGTCTGTAAAACATCTTCTCATCTTCACATCTCATCTTGACATCCTCTCATCTTCACATCTGCTCATCTTCACATCCTCTCATCTTCACATCCTCTCATCTTCACATCTGCTCATCTTCACACCTTCCCATCTTCACATCTGCTCATCTTCACACCTTCCCATCTTCACATCTTCTCATCTTCACATCTGCTCATCTTCTCATCTTCTCATCTTCACATCTTCTCATCTTCACATCTGTTCATCTTCACATCTGCTCATCTTCACATCTGCTCATCTTCACATCTGCTCATCTTCACACCTTCTTTCACATCTCTCATCTTCACATCTGCTCATCTTCACATCTGCTCATCTTCACATCTGCTCATCTTCACATCTGCTCATCTTCACACCTTCTCTCACATCTGCTCATCTTCACATCTGCTCATCTTCACATCTGCTCATCTTCACATCTTCTCTCATCTTCTCTCACATCTGTTCATCTTCATATCTTCTCTCACATCTTCTCTCACATATTCTCTCATATCTTCTCTCACATCTTCTCTCACATCTGCTCATCTTCACATCTGCTCATCTTCACATCTGCTCATCTTCACATCTTCTTTCACACCTGCTCATCTTCACATCTGCTCATCTTCACACCTTCTCTCTCATCACATCTGCTCATCTTCACATCTGCTCATCTTCACATCCTCTCACCTTCTCTCTCATCGCCTTCTTTTTATCTTTCTCTCTTAAGGCCGAGGGTGGTGCCGGCGGCGAGTCACGAAACGCCAACCCTTTCGCACGAAATGAGGGTCGATCGGCAAAAACTGAGGTAAAATTGCGATTTGACTTGCCCCGGAGCAACCCTTTCGCACGAAATGAGGGTCGATCGGCAAAAACTGAGGTAAAAAAGGTTTTGCAGCCGATAGGGGGTCTTTGGAATTTGATTCTAGGGTCCTTGGTGATTTAGTTCTACCTCTGATTGTGTGATATATGTTTTCCATTATTTATTTCTTTATCTATCTTATCTATCAAGGTAGGTGGCCTTGGTATATACTAATGAAAATGATCCCAAAGGAAAGATCGTCTTGGGCTAGTGTCCCTTGGATGTTTCAATATATTGTTAATTTTTATCCGCCATTCGGTAATCATGCCAAGATGGGAATTGATAATTAGTGTCTCCATCCATTTACCCTTCTATTCGTGGAAGTGCCAGTCAGAACAAACGATCACCATTCGATCGTAGTTCAAATAGTTTTTTTTTTTGGGTTGGGTACTTTGATAAAATATAAAACATATTATATGTATATATATATATATGTATCAATATATGCAGCCGATAGGGGGTCTTTGGAATTTGATTCTAGGGTCCTTGGTGATTTAGTTCTACCTCTGATTGTGTGATATATGTTTTCCATTATTTATTTCTTTATCTATCTTATCTATCAAGGTAGGTGGCCTTGGTATATACTAATGAAAATGATCCCAAAGGAAAGATCGTCTTGGGTTAGTGTCCCTTGGATGTTTCAATATATTGTTAATTCTTTTCCGCCATTCGGTAATCATGCCAAGATGGGAATTGATAATTAGTGTCTCCATCCATTTACCCTTCTATTCGTGGAAGTGCCAGTCAGAACAAACGATCACCATTCGATCGTAGTTCAAATTTTTTTTTGGGGGGGGGTTGGGTACTTCGATAAAATATAGAATATATTATATCTATGTTGTGCATTGATCTGGGTTCTCTGGAAATGGATTCTTGGGTCTTTCCAAATATTTAATATATGATAATGGAATTGAATTGTATTATAGGTACTTTATTATTTTCCCTATGAGGTAACCAATTGGTTGATTAAATGGGTATCATCTTACCATTGGTTATTTAATGTAACTATTTGTTTTTTTGCCATGCTCATAGAAAATTCTATGTGCATTATTATGTTCACTCTTAGGCAACCACTTGGTTGGCTAAATTGATATCATCCAAGTATCGGTTACGGTTATTTTATTTTATTCCTTGGATTAGCTGGGGTCCACTACCATTTCTGAAGGGTACCAACCAATTGCTGGATCAAAATGGAAAAGGTATCAACCACGCTCTTGTTTTTTCTAGGGCGGTGCCCCCATATACCTTTGGTATAAAGCCACCAATGTTATCCCTGATTATCATTATTTTTTTCAAGTACTAAATTTCCCCCATTATTTCTACGTCTACATCGTATATCCTTTAAATGCAATGTCCAATAGCTAATTTGCCGAAGTCAGGGCGCAGAAATCAGCACCCTGAGTTAGGCAATTTTTTTTTTTTTGACGATATCCTAGGTGCTTGGTGGGGTATTGCCTAAGTAAGGTCGCAAAAATCTGCACCTAGACTTGGGCAATACAGAGGTTGTACCCTGGGATTTAGGAAAAAAAATTGCCGATCTCAGGGTGCAGAAATTGGCATGTGGACTTGGGAAACAGCCCTACTATTATATTCAACCATGATTTTTGCCGCAGAGGATTCGGGGTCCTTGATTTTGAGATTTAGGCAAAAAAAAAATTGCCGATCTTTTGGCTTGGGGGACCCCGTATCCGTCGCATCCGCACATCCGTCGCATAACAATATTTTATTTTATATTTTATCGAAGTACCCAACCCAAAAAACAACATATTTGAACTACGATCGAATGGTGATCGGTTGTTCTGACTGGCACTTCCACGAATAGAAGGGTAAATGGATGGAGACACTAATTATCAATTCCCATCTTGGCATGATTACCGAATGGCGGATAAAAATTAACAATAATATTGAAACATCCAAGGGACACTAACCCAAGACGATCTGTCCTTTGGGATCATTTTCATTAGTATATACCAAGGCCACCTACCTTGATAGATAAGATAGATAAAGAAATAAATAATGGAAAACATATATCACACAATCAGAGGTAGAACTAAATCACCAAGGACCCTAGAATCAAATTCCAAAGACCCCCTATCGGCTGCATATATTGATACATATATATATATATACATTTAATATGTTTTATATTTTATCAAAGTACCCAACCCAAAAAAAACTATTTGAACTACGATCGAATGGTGATCGTTTGTTCTGACTGGCACTTCCACGAATAGAAGGGTAAATGGATGGAGACACTAATTATCAATTCCCATCTTGGCATGATTACCGAATGGCGGATAAGAATTAACAATATATTGAAACATCCAAGGGACACTAGCCCAAGACGATCTTTCCTTTGGGATCATTGTCACTAGTATATACCAAGGCCACCTACCTTGATAGATAAGATAGATAAAGAAATAAATAATGGAAAACATATATCACACAATCAGAGGTAGAACTAAATCACCAAAGACCCTAGAATCAAATTCCAAAGACCCCCTATCGGCTGCATATATTGATATATATATATATAATATATTTATATTTTATCAAAGTACCCAACCCAAAAAAAACTATTTGAACTACGATCGAATGGTGATCGTTTGTTCTGACTGGCACTTCCACGAATAGAAGGGTAAATGGATGGAGACACTAATTATCAACCCCCATCTTGGCATGATTGCCGAATGGCGTATAAGAAGTAACAATATATTGAAACATCCAAGGGACACTAGCCCAAGACGATCTTTCCTTTGGGATCATTTTCATTAGTATATACCAAGGCCACCTACCTTGATAGATAAGATAGATAAAGAATAAATAATGGAAAACATATATCAGACAATCAGAGGTAGAACTAAATCACCAAGGACCCTAGAATCAAATTCCAAAGACCCCCTATCGGCTGCAAAACCTTAAAATGGCGATTTGACTTGCCCCGGAGCAACCCTTTCGCACGAAATCAGGGTCGATCGGCAAAAACTGAGGTAAAATTCCGATTTGACTTGCCCCGGAGCAACCCTTTCGCACGAAATGAAGGTCGATCGGCAAAAACTGAGGAAAAATTGCGATTTGACTTGTCCCGGAGCAACCCTTTCGCACGAAATGAGGGTCGATCGGCAAAAACTGAGGTAAAACTGCGATTTGACTTGTCCTGGAGCAACCTTTTCGCACGAAATGAGGGTCGATCGGCAAAAACTGAGGTAAAAGTGCGATTTTACTTGTGCCGGAGCAACCCTTTCGCACGAAATGAGGGTCGATCGGCAAAAACTGAGGTAAAACTGCGATTTTACTTGCCCCGGAGCAACCCTTTCGCACGAAATGAGGGTCGATCGGCAAAAACTGAGGTAAAAGTGCAATTTTACTTGTGCCGTTCTTGTCTGTGTGTAAAAGCGCCTGTGTGTAAAAAGCGTCTGTGTGTAAAAGTCTCTGTGTGTAAAAGCGTCTGTGTGTCAAAGCGTCTGTGTGTCAAAGTGTCTGTGTGTAAAAGCGTCTGTGTGTAAAATTGTTTGTGTGTAAAAGTCTCTGTGTGTAAAAGCGTCTGTGTGTCAAAGCGTCTGTGTGTCAAAGTGTCTGTGTGTAAAAGCGTCTGTGTGTAAAAGTGTTTGTGTGTAAAAGTGTTTGTGTTCAAGTGTTTCTGTGTAAAAGCCTCTGTGTGTAAATGTGTTTGTGTGTGAAAGCGTTTGCGTGTAAAAAGCGTCTGGGTGTAGAGGTTGTCTGTGTGTAAAAGCGTCTGTGTGTCAAAGCGTTTGTGTGTAAAAGCGTCTGTGTGTAAAAGTGTTTGTATGTAAAAGCTTCTGTGTGTAAAAGTGTTTGTGTCAAAGTGTTTGTGTCAAAGTGTTTGTGTAAAAGCCTCTGTGTGTACATGTGTTTGTGTGTGACAGCGTCTGTGTGTAAAAAGCGTCTGTGTGTAAAAAGCGTCTGTGTGTAAAAGCGTCTGTGTGTCAAAGGGTTTGTGTGTAAAAGCGTCTGTGCGTAAAAGTGTTTGTATGTAAAAGCTTCTGTGTGTAAAAGTGTTTGTGTTACAGTGTTTGTGTAAAAGCCTCTGTGTGTAAAAGCTTTTTCCCGAGAGCGTCTGAGCGCAGGGTTCTTCCAATAGTGGGGGTCTGTAAAACATCCTCTCATCTTCACATCTTCTCATCTTCACATCCTCTCATCTTCACATCCTCTCATCTTCACATCCTCTCATCTTCACATCCTCTCATCTTCACATCCTCTCATCTTCACATCTGCTCATCTTCACACCTTCACATCTTCACACCTGCTCATCTTCACACCTTCCCATCTTCACATCTTCTCATCTTCACATCTGCCCATCTTCACATCTGCTCATCTTCACACCTTCCCATCTTCACATCTGCTCATCTTCACACCTTCCCATCTTCACATCTTCTCATCTTCACATCTGCTCATCTTCACATCTGCTCATCTTCACATCTGCTCATCTTCACATCTTCTCTCACATCTTCTCTCACATCTTCTCTCATCTGCTCATCTTCATATCTTCTCTCACATCTTCTCTCACATCTTCCCTCACATCTTCTCTCACATCTGCTCATCTTCACATCTGCTCATCTTCACATCTTCTCTCACATCTGCCCATCTTCACATCTGCTCCTCTTCACATCTGCTCATCTTCACACCTTCTCTCACATCTTCTCACCTTCACATCTTCTCTCCTTTCTCTCTCCTTTTTCTCTCTCTCGCCTTCTTTATCTTTCTCTCTTTAGGCCGAGGGTGGTACCGGCGGTGAGTCACGAAACGTCAACCCTTTCGCACGAAATGAGGGTCGATCGTCAAAAACTGAGGAAAAATTGCGATTTTACTTGTGCCGGAGCAACCCTTTCGCACGAAATGAGGGTCGATCGTCAAAAACTGAAAAAAAATTGCGAGTTTACTTGTGCCGGAGCAACCCTTTCGCACGAAATGAGGGTCGATCGTCAAAAACTGAGGAAAAATTGCGAGTTTACTTGTCCTGGAGCAACCCTTTCGCACGAAATGAAGGTCGATCGTCAAAAACTGAGGAAAAATTGCGAGTTTACTTGTCCCGGAGCAACCCTTTCGCACGAAATGAAGGTCGATCGTCAAAAACTGAGGAAAAATTGCGATTTTACTTGCCCCCGAGCAACCCTTTCGCACGAAATGAGGGTCGATCGTCAAAAACTGAGGAAAAATTGCGATTTTACTTGCCCCCGGAGCAACCCTTTCGCACGAAATGAGGGTCGATCGTCAAAAACTGAGGAAAAATTGCGATTTTACTTGTCCCCGAGCAACCCTTTCGCACGAAATGAAGGTCGATCGTCAAAAACTGAGGAAAAATTGCGAGTTTACTTGTGCTGGAGCAACCCTTTCGCACGAAATGAAGGTCGATCGTCAAAAACTGAGGAAAAATTGCGATTTTACTTGTCCTGGAGCAACCCTTTCGCACGAAATGAGGGTCGATCGTCAAAAACTGAAGAAAAATTGCGATTTTACTTGTCCTGGAGCAACCCTTTCGCACGAAATGAGGGTCGATCGTCAAAAACTGAAGAAAAATTGCGATTTTACTTGCCCCGGAGCAACCCTTTCGCACGAAATGAAGGTCGATCGGCAAAAACTGAGGAAAAATTGCGATTTTACTTGTCCTGGAGCAACCCTTTCGCACGAAATGAGGGTCGATCGTCAAAAACTGAAGAAAAATTGCGATTTTACTTGTGCCGGAGCAACCCTTTCGCACGAAATGAGGGTCGATCGTAGCGTCTGCCTGTGTAAAAGCGTCTGTGTGTAAAAGCGTCTGTGTGTAAAAGCGTCTGTGTGTAAAAGACTGTGTGCAAAAGCGTCTGTGTGTAAAAGCGTCTGTGTGTCAAAGCGTCTGTGTGTAAAAGCGTCTGTGTGTAAAAGCGTCTGTGTGTAAAAGCGTCTGTGTGTAAAAGCGTCTGTGTGTAAAAGCGTCTGTGTGTAAAAGCGTCTGTGTGTAAAAGTGTTTGTGTGTCAAAGCGTCTGTGTGTAAAAGCATCTGTGTGTAAAAGCGTCTGTGTGTAAAAGCGTCTGTGTGTAAAAGAGCCTGTGTGTAAAAGCGTCTGTGTGTCAAAGCGTCTGTGTGCAAAAGCGTGTGTGTGTAAAAGCCTCTGTGTGTAAAAGCGTCTGTGTGTAAAAGCGTCTGTGTGTAAAAGCGTCTGTGTGTAAAAGCGTCTGTGTGTAAAAGTCTCTGCGGGTAAAAGCCTCTGTGTGTAAAAGTCTCTGCGTGTGAAAGAGCCTGTGTGTAAAAAGCGTCTGTGTGTAAAAGCGTCTGTGTGTAAAAGCGTCTGTGTGTAAAAGCGTCTGTGTGTAAAAGGCTCTGTGTGTAAAAGCGTCTGTGTGTGTAAAAGTGTTTGTGTGTAAAAGCATCTGTGTGTAAAAGCCTCTGTGTGTAAAAGCGTCTGTGTGTCAAAGCGTCTGTGTGCAAAAGCGTTTGTGTGTAAAAGTGTCTGTGTGTAAAAGCGTCTGTGTGTAAAAGCGTCTGTGTGTAAAAGCGTCTGTGTGTAAAAGGCTCTGTGTGTAAAAGCGTCTGTGTGTAAAAGCGTCTGTGTGTAAAAGAGCCTATGTGTAAAACGCGTTTGTGTGTAAAAGCGTTTGTGTGTAAAAGCGTCTGTGGGAAAAAACGTCTGTGTGTAAAAGCTTCTGTGTGTAAAAGCTTCTGTGTGTAAAAGCGTCTGTGTGTAAAAGCGTCTGTGTGTAAAAGTGTTTGTGTGTAAAAGTGTTTGTGTGTAAAAGCCTCTGTGTGTAAAAGCGTCTGTGTGTAAAAGCGTCTGTGTGTAAAAGAACCTATGTGTAAAAAGCGTTTGTGTGTAAAAGCGTCTGTGTGTAAAAGCGTCTGTGTGTAAAAGCGTCTGTGTGTAAAAGCTTCTGTGTGTAAAAGCTTCTGTGTGTAAAAGCGTCTGTGTAAAAGCGTCTGTGTGTAAAAGTGTTTGTGTGTAAAAGTGTTTGTGTGCAAAATCGTCTGTGTGTAAAAGTGTCTGTGTGTAAAAGTCTCTGTGTGTAAAAGTCTCTGTGTGTAAAAGTCTCTGTGTGCAAAAGCGTCTCTGTGTAAAAGCGTCTGTGTGTAAAAGTCTCTGCGTGTAAAAGTCTCTGTGTGTAAAAGTCTCTGTGTGCAAAAGCGTCTGTCTGTAAAAAGTTCTGTGTATGAACAACTTTACAAAAATACGATGCAAACTATTGTCTTGTACTAGGCATATATTGTCTTGATACTACTCTTCTCGTCTGCCTATAATACATCTTTAATATATTATCTTGTAATATAGTGTCTCCATACTAACAACAGAAGACTCTGCTCCTCTACGCTCTCGGGCCATCCGTCGTCTAGTTCTTGTTTGCAAATCCGGTTTTCGTCGAAACTCCACGTGTTTGTTGATTCAAAATGGTTACAGTAAAATCCTTTGTTTGTCGGCGGTTGCAAATCTTTTTGGCTGCTTACGTAGAACTCCGCAAAACGTTTGTTGTTTTCAACTCCTGTTTGTAAGCCCATGTACTGTAATCCCTTCCACCAAGAAAATACTAAAAAGGAAACCCTCGCTCGCTTAGTCTTGGGTTTGTTCATGTTTAGGGATATTTTAATATATTTTAATGATTTCGCAAAACAACTGAAATCCAAACCAGTTGGCCTATCCGTAACCATCCGCAACCCAAACCATCCGTGTTTGCCAGGCACCCGGCTCTTCGAATTTCCTGTGCCCCGATACCTGGGCCTCGCGGCGTCCCTGGCCATGATGATCCACGGCCTCCTGGCCCTGAAGTGCTGCCAGCGCTGCCAGCGCTGCCAGCGCTGCCAGCGCCAGGCCCGGCGCGGCGTGGAGCGCTGGTTGCCATCCTTCTGCCGCATGGCCTCAAAGGGGTTGAAGCGCTGGAAAAATGGCGTTCCAAAAAATCACAATTCATCACAATACACCAAAATTATCCAAATTATCATGGGAGTTAGCCATCAAAGAATGGGGATTGAACTTCTGGATTAACCATGCTCCCTGCAACCCTGACGTTGCTCCCCGTATCTGACGAAGTAATACCCTCCCTACATCTCCCTACTGTTTGCAGGGGGTGGTGCAGTTGATCCCATGAAATGACCAGTGTATCGTATTGTTCAGACGCCGGGGCAGCGCATTTGATCCCATTGAAACAACAGTTGGATTTAAATTGACAGTGCATCGAAGCATCGTATTATTCAGAGTGGTGTGGCGCATTTGATTTCATAATGATAAATAATAAAAAGTAGTACTGTTCAAGAAACAGTTTATCCTAGACATGGTTGATCCGGTTTCGTTGAATCTATTGACTCCGAACATTATGCGTTGAGGCTGCGAACTTCCAGTGTTTCAGGTCTGACCCTGTTGGCTCCACCACAGCGGATCAATTTTGTCATGGTACAACGTTCGGGTTGGGGAGAACATGTTGAAAAGCAAAGATAAGAAGTGATAGTGAAGCTTAGCCGACAAACTATGGAACGACCTGTGGGTTTGCAAGCACAGTTTGGGGATACAACCAGCAATCGTTCACTGCGCTACCGGTGGGGCGGGAAACATATGTAATTAATGGTCGTTAGCAGGTAATTGGGTTCTTACGAGGAAGTCTGAATCCGGCCAAGATGATGAACACACATTGATCCCACTTGTCCCATGTTGTGAATTAAAGTGCCGCATAAATACCGTCGACATGTGATGTTCAGTAACGTCGCTGGTTTCCCCGGCTTGAAATGGACTGTCCCAGTACAAATTCGATGGTTGTGGGGGATGTCTTCCAAATTTTGAACATATATACGTAGTATTACGTAGTATTACGTAGTCTTATAATATAATATATACATTACATTATAATACATTATATATAATATTATATAATACCAAAGTTCTATCATGTGGGTAAGTGCCCCAGAATCCTGACGGGGTTCAATGGACTTTTCATTTCCTCCATTATGGCCGTTGCTCACATCACTGAAGGTACACTGTTGGAGCTATGGTTTTTTGACGTGATCGCATCATCCACAGTCAATGAGGTCGCGCTGGACGAGCCAACGTTGCTTGAAGGTTGATACAAAAAATGTGAAAAGACAAATTACGTAGCTGGGTAAACCTTGGTCAATTGGAGGTTAGTGTTTGATTTTGGGCCACATGCATATATTCAAGTATGGGAGATTATATATGGAGGATAATGATAATATGTTTAAGGTTTGAACATTTTCTGTTTATGGTACTGTTGGAAGGATTCATTTTCTACAGGTGCATTCCAGCATTTGCAACAAGGACTTCCTCCAGCAATGATGGCTGTCTCGCTGTTTTCCTGACGATCCCTTGTTCAAGATTGTTCAAGTGTACTAGAATATACGGTATGATGATCCACACGTTCGCTTCTTTTTGGCTGAAATCTGGTCCATTTGGGCCGATGATGTGAAAGGGGAGGACGTTAGTATTTTTACTCAAAAACCAAAAGTGATGAGTCCGGAAAGACTTGGGAATTCGTATTTTCGCTACAATCGAAGCCAAAATCATGGGTTCATAGATTTGTCATGTGCCAAGCAGTACCAGATCCAGACTGAAAACAGAATGATTTCACACCACATTCTTCTATTTTTTACGCCAATGTATCATTCCTCCTGTTTAATTGTTTACTTAGTTTCCTTCTCCCATTTTGTCACTGTCCGTTCGTGGGTGCGATCAGCCACGAAACCTCAGGTTGATCACAAACGTTTGGCTGGCAGCGCATGCATCCCTAGCCCTTGGGCTATTTATTTGGATGCGTTGTGTCAAGACACAGGCGGGAACATGGACATTCCCCAGTCATCCCAGTCACGATTTTGCCTTGGTTGGAGGAGAATGCGTCGTTCTTAGTTTGATATGTTCTTTCTTGTGCTGCTTCTGACTGACTCTGCTGATTATTAAGGATATATATACTGATGATTTAGTGTTCAGCCAGACACTTCAAGATATGTTTTTGTTGTGGCGCTTTGCTAGATTTGACACATACGAAACGCCACATATTATATAATGGCTATAGTTTCGGATCAGCAAAACGCCAAGCGGAGGTGGTTATGATTATTGCATGGTATTGCTATTGTTATTGTCATCAGGATGCTCTTGGAAGCTGCATGCGCATTCACTTCCGTGTCCATGTGTTTATAGTTTCAGAATGGATCACTCACTGCTGTGTGATGATTTAAAAACCATCAAAGGCTGTTACTGTTGCAGCCCAATCTATCGAATAGCAATGTTCTCGGTGCGCAAGGGAAAGCTGCTTCAGATTTGAGGGTAGGAATAAGAGTCCATCAGTGAGAATGACATAGATGTGCTGGAGCCTGATATCGTGCCATGCGGTTTACAACGCTTTGGGTCAGGTTTAAAGACAGAAAGAAAGGCCACTGTGGAAAGCATTGCGGCATTGCCCTCATAGGAATTGCATGAAAACAATACGCACACATTTGGATAGGTGTCGGTGTGCGATGGTGATTTGAATACGGCGCAAGTTCCGCCGTGTGCCATGCGGTGGCGTAAGATTGTTGCGGCGTAAGTTACCCCGTACTCGTGCAACGCAATTGCCCCTAGATCAAGCCCAAAAAAATGGATGTCCTTCCACCCAAATATTGACAGTATGAAATAGCAGAACAGGATACCCCAAAACCCAATCTTTGATCATAATTCTCCCCGTCAAAATACTACGCAGGCAACACTACGGCTCTTTGCTGCTGCCTACATGTCCGTCAGCTGGGGAAGCAGTTTCTACGGCTGCAGAGCAGTGGACATGGCGCTGGGGCACAAGCAGCTTGACGTTTATACTAGGGTACCTGTGGCAGTGTCGGCAGTGCGTATAAGCAACATGGTGATATATAAGCGTCACACGCACCCACGCATCCGTAGACACACCGTTTACACCCTTGAAATCTAAAGTGAATGGACAATCTCAAGCAGGAAGATGACTTTTCCAAATGCAGGGTTCACTTGCTTGGAAAATCTCGTACTTCTCTCCGACGGGATTCAACGAATCCCAACTTCAGGAAGTTTACGCTGCTGAAACCCAACTTGGACAACTTGATAATGGGGAATTTCAGCATACCCTTTGAACTTGAAGATTGTTCATTCGACATGATGCATCCAACACCTTTCTTTGAGGGAGCTTAGCCTTGTCAGCCCAGCTTGAGGCAATTTGAAGAAGGACGACAACTGGATATAGCCATTGGTGCAGCAATTGCCTTTTCAGCTCCTCGGCATTTTGGCAGTTCAGATTGGTGATATTTCAATTGTCAGGAATGTAGATTCCAGGTAGTATAATTCGTATGGATCAAAATGTAAGCTGTGGTCTCAACCAAATATCCCAAAGCTTAGAATGTGAACTGAACTTCCCAATCTAATTATTGCAGGTTTGGGAGGTTCATCTACCAGGGTGACACTATATAGTGTAATTACATAACTTTCAATGAATTTGCTGAAACACTCATATAGTTGCTGACTTTGCGTCTGCCTGGATATATTATACTATATTTATATGTGGTAAACCGATTAGTAGATTAGTAAATCATACCCGACCTACCCAATCTGAAAGCCCATAGAACCATACCCCCCAGAAAGAGTTGTGTATTGGGTCTACCAAATTTCGCATGTTCATATCTCGATGTCTAGCGCTTTCAATATTCAAGTTGATTAAGACCCATATACACCAGGAGTAGCCATCAAGCACCGTGGGGTTGTTTACGATGGTTTACAGACCCCAAAACCCAATATCGCCACAGTTTGTGCAGCTTTTCCCGCTGCTGGTGGTCTTTGCCGTGGGACGAAAATGGCTCTTCAAGCAGAACCTTGGCGATAGTGGCGATGGGTCAAGGCATTGTGCATGTACCAAGAAAGTGCGAGATTTATTGAATCTAATATATACTTAACATTAGTTAACCACAATAGGCGAAAACACTACAACAAAAATTACTTTACTTCGTGTGATCCCCACCATGACATTTATACATTTTCTTACTGGCAAATCTTCTGGCATTCTATCTGACATATCTTCTGACATTCTATTTAGCATTCTATCTGGCATATCTTCTGGCATATGATCTGGCATATCTTCTGGCATATCTTCTGGCATTCTATCTGGCAAATCTTCTGGCATTCTATCTGGCATATCTTCTGGCACTCTATCTGACATATCTTCTGGCATTCTATCTTGCATATCTTCTGGCATATATTCTGACATATCTTCTGGCATTCTATCTGACATATCTTCTGGCATATATTCTGACATATCTTCTGGCATATCTTTTGGCATATCTTCTGGCATATCTTCTGACATATCTATCTGGCATATCTTCTGGCATATTTTCTGGCATTCTATCTGGCAAATCTTCTGGCATTCTATCTGGCATTCTATCTGGCATATCTTCTGGCATATTATCTGGCATTCTATCTGGCATATCTTCTGGCATATTTTCTGACATATCTTCTGGCATTCTATCTGGCATTCTATTTGGCATTCTATCTGGCATATCTTCTGGCATATCTTCTGACATTCTTTCTGACATTCTTTCTAACTTTCTTCTGCACATTCTTTGTCCCATATCTTCCTACATGAGGTCCGGCAGGGAACACTTGGCGTGGATACTCGCGGTTGAGGTCCGGCAGGGAACACTGGGCGTGGATGGTCGTGGTTGGTCGTGGTTGAGGTCCGGCAGGGAACACTGGGCGAGGATGGTCGTGGTTGAGGTCCGGCAGGGAACATTGGGCGTGGATGGTCGTGGTTGAGGTCCGGCAGGGAACACTGGGCGTGGATGGTCGTGGTTGAGGTCCGGCAGGGCACACTGACGTGGATGGTCGTGGTTGAGGTCCGGCAGGGCACACTGACATGGATCGCAGTGGAGCAGGAGGAGGACGAGGAGGAGGAGGAGGAGGGAGACGAGGGAGGAGGAGGAAGGAGGAGGACGAGGAGGAGGAGGAGGAGGACGAGGAGGAAGCAACTGACATAAAATCTAACAACCCTCACCTGGCAGGTGGGGAACAAACTCCGAATACAGAGCCAAAGTTGGATAGTGTCATAGTATGTTTAATGTGTGTGGTTGGTCGGCCCTTAGATCATGACTCATACAGTATGTATTTGATTCTGTGATTTACACGGCAGGTCAAACTGTTCGACTTTACGAGCAGTGAACCCAACGGCTTTGGGTATCTCCCAATGTTTGGCCATCGCCATCTTAATCTTTTGGTCAGTGAATTTATGTATTCACAGCAAGTTAGCGGCTTAAGAAAGTGGACGTTTTGGGAGCATCAGCCGAAGCAACTGCACAGCAGAAATCTTGGGTGGCCCAAGCAATCACCAATGGATGTTTATAAACGTATTCTTGTTTGAAATCCCCGTGCTCATTATCAGAGTTTCCCCTCTCCCTCAATTCCATCATCCACGTCAATTAGTTTGGTTAAAACTGCCAGTGTGCATCGGGATGTCATTTGAGGGACCTCAGTTGTTTCTCTTATCCCATGCGAGGTTAGCTACCTGGCTGGACCATTACCGTAGCCTACAGCTTCAAGATGGCGCCTTTATGGCGATGCTGTTGGATTCCTATGTGGTAGAAGTGGGCCAGCCTTGGTGGTTGCACCTTGACATACCATGTACATCAAAGGAAGCCATGGAACAAATGCACGGACACTGGGGGTTGCAGTATTCCAAGAATGGGCTCAAGAGGGGACACCTCACCCTCATATTATATGATAGTATAATATGTATATAATATATATATATACATATACAATTATATATATATACAATGATATATATATATATATGTGAAAATCATATGTGTGATGTTTTAAAGAAATGATGTGTTGTTGTAAATGATCCCTGGAACCAATTGTTTGGAGATGTATAGATCTGAGATGATCTGAGTTTGAACGTGGTTGAATGAACTCTACTTGCTGAATGTGGACTACTGCATGTACACAGAAAAGACAGTTGGGCACGGCAAGTTGAGTCCACTCAAAAACATCAGCTACTTCTTGGTATTTCTTGGTTACAAGTTACATCCTCATACATACTAAATGGATTCTAAATGGATCTAGATGGGACATGCTGCGCTTCAAGGACCAAGGACGAGTTGGCCCTGGCCACCTCCTTCTCCCTGTCCAGCTCCTTCCCTGCGCAGCTGCACTCGGACTTTGTCTTGGGGTACGTCAAAGAGGTCTCAGCATCTTGGCAAAGTGCTGATGGAAGTTGATTTATGGTAGTAAATTACCTTTGTGGTAAGCCATTGTTAAGTGTACTGTACAATACTGTACATATGTATATTAATCTCGAGTATAAATACAGTGTATATATATATATACACATACATATATATATATACATACACATATATGTATAATATGTCAATACGTAGTACACAATCAGTGGTGGTTGATGCTTCGGCCAGGGGTTGTGATTTGATGGTGAAAGTACGGAGGAAATCTGGCAATGATTGGTGACGGGAAGGTGAACAGGTTTGTTGTGACAGATGCGTGAATCTCATATAATCTCATATCCAGCTAAACAGAAAAGAGCGTTGCTGCAGGGTATCCAAAATAGTCCGAGATTAGCAAATTACCAAAGCAGCTCCAGATTGGCACCCTGCGCATGCCTTGGTGGCCGCCTGCACCGAACCTTTGCTTGTTGGTTTGTCAATTTTGATGAAGGTACCCCTTGCTTCCAGGTTAACTCTTCGAGATATTATTGTGTGCATTTCTACCAGATTGTGTTGGCTGCGGGTACCACTTTCGCTTCGTACAGTTTCATGATCTGCCTCCTTGTTCTCGGTGTTTAGATTTTCAGGTAAATCTCTTATGAACTCGTGCTACTTACTCCAACCTGGCATTGATGGGATATGGAAAACAAAATGGCCTCCCAAACTTCGACCAGGAAGTGGCTGCAGGACGATACCACAACATCATTGGGATGTTGAAAGTCGATACCAATTCAACTACATTGGTGTTTTAAATATCTGAAAGTAAATATTATAGTCAATTGTAGTGCAACATATTCGTGTCCAATTGATTGTCCTGCCTGTTCCACATCCTAAGTCCATTTACATCGTACTGCCGGTACCAGGTGTAGCTTGGTACCAGGCTCTTGGAATAGACCATTGGATTCTGCATGACTTCATTTGGCCTCCCAGTCAGTGATGTACTTGCTTGAGCAAAATAGAAGGGTCGGTTATGTTCAGTTATGTAAGTGTATACCATTCCAATTATTCGCTGCCATTTGATAAAGAGTGATTTTCTTGGGGATTGGCTATTTGATATCTAACATCATTACGTACATTTAATTAATCCATATTAATCCACTCAATCCATCATTGATATTATTCTTATATAAATTATATATGCGTATAGTTTTTGGATCATTGTGGATAATAATGGCTTGTACAGTTTATATATGATAGATGATTTATGTATATCATATATTAGTATTAAAAATAACAATAATAATACCAATAACAATAATAATTAATAATATAATATTTATTATAGTGTATATATATATTATATATAGATATATGCAGTATATACAGACACCAGTTTGTGCTATACTGTCCCCATGGCTCCCATCCCAGGACGACGGCCGGAGCTTCATGGTGCAGCTGGGCCCCGAGACCAACGCGCACGCCGCGCACGCCGCGCACGCCGAGTCGGCGCTGGGCTGGCGGATCGAGCGGCAGCAGCAGGCCTTGCCGTGGCCCGAGTGCCGTGGCTAGGGAGATGGGCTACCGCAAGGTCGGGCTTAATAAACAGGGCAAATCATCATCAAGTTCTGTACAAATTAGAGCGGGCCCAGCCGAGGAACGAGGTAGGGTTTGTAGATTTAACGAGCCCAGCGACGAGGTAGCATTCTTGAATTTAAGGACAAGTGGTTTTTTCTGAGTTGGGAGTAGCACCGTTTGGGGCTTTTTCTTGTCCAAAACTTAGATTTTGGAACTACTTCTTTTTCAGAGTGCTCGGAACACAAAAAAGCTTTTCGATTCAAAGTTGCTTTGCTCTGAGTTGGAAGTAGTACCGTTTTGGGCTTTTCTTGTTCAAAACTTAGATTTTGGAACTACTTTTTTTTCAGATTGCTTGGAACACAAAAAAGCTTTTCGGTTCACAGCTGCTTTGCTCTGAGTTGGAGGTAGCACCGCTTCGGGCTTTTTCTTGTCCAAAACTTAGATTTTGGAACTACTTTTTTTCAGATTGCTTGGAAAACAAACAAGCTTTTTCGACTCCAAGTTTCTTTGAGGTGACTACGAAAGATCATGGCACTTATGAGGTGACTATGAAAGATCATGAAAGATCATTACAATAAGGATATTCATGGGGGAGTTGGCCATTTATGACCTGGGGGGTAGGAAACATCAATTAGAGGACCAGTAGGATCAGTAGGCAATGTAACCACTGTTTACCCATTCTGAAATGAATTACAATCCAACATCAAAGACTCAGTTATAGTAAGATTGTTTCCCCGAGTTTCAAGTTCCGAGGCTTTTGAAGCTGGGTCGTAAGAACCTCCTTTGCTGCGATTGGACGGCGCAAGCCGCTGAGCTCTGGCGCCCGAATGGCCCCGCCGGGGTTCAGCTGTCCAGACCTGTGATGCGCGGGGAAACTATCGATTATTTTGTGCCTTGGGGCAAAAATGGGTGGGTTTTTTGGTGCATTTTTCTGGTTGATTTATTTGAGATTTCGGAGAATTGAAGATTGTTGACCATATTTAGGGTAGATAGTGCAGGCTGATTGGCAAGTCTCGAGTAGAAGTCTGTAGTGATAGGTGTGCCTGTGGTTGTTCATTTAGATTGCCAGGGAACACGCTCTGGAAATGTAGGGATTAAACTTTGGTTGCGCCTATTTGGACCTTCCACTTGTCAAAATGATGGCAGGGACGTGTTTTACACAAAAGGGTGTGGACGGTGTGGACATCACAAACCGAAGTTCCACGTTCCAGGTATGATAAGTACAGGTCAAATGCCACAAAGAGCAATGGGCATGTCACGAACATGATACGACCTCTATCATGTGTATGCAGGATGCAGAATGGAATGAACATGAACATTTAGAATCATTTAGATTCATTTAGAATATTTGCAAAGGTTGAACAGGGTTTATAGATGTTTATAGGGTGTCAGCATGTTTCAGCCAGTTTCTACGCCCAGCTCCGTGCCAAGGTATCACACTCTTGGTCCGACAGTCCGGAGCAGAAGTGGCGCGCCCTGCAGTTGGTGGCTGAACCTTGGACCGTTGGGTTTGGCGGCAGATTGGGATGTCAGATTTTTGTGGGGTGCCAAAAACACCTTTCAAAAGATGGTGATGATCAAAGCAGGGATGATGGGGGCAGTGCATGAGTGGGTACAGGATATTGTACACACCGTCAGACATGGACAACAAACTCATAGTCACACGATGGCGCATTTGCGCCAATTTGTGGGCACCAATATTATTATATTGTGGTCCGATCTGCAGAATCAACATGAATCAACCACATTGTCTACATTTTTTGGCCCCCTCTCTTCAGGGTTGAAAGGTGAGTCTCATTGGAAGGTTTTAATTGTTGCAGTCATGCTTAGAGATGCCTAGGCAAGCTGATGTTTTGATTTACCCCGAACCTATCATACATATAAACATGGGTCAGGTTGGTACATACAGGCAATCGACAAAGTCGTTCCTTTTTTAAGAAATCTCTAGATTTAGTTGCGTCGAAGCTTTCCCTGGAAGTCGTGCCTTTTTGGAAAACGCAAGCAAACTCTGGTGATCACAGCGCAACCATGTTTTTAGGTGTTTTTCTTTTTTTCCTTGCGTTTAGCTTGGGTTTAGGTATCTAGTTATGCTTTGGGTATATGTAGTTTTTGTTGCGTTCAGTTGGGGGGAAACTTTTTTTGTTGCAGCTGCTTTCTTATCAGTGACTTCTGTACGTTCAACTGTATTTAGCAACTACTGTTAAACTGCTGCTCAATTGTTGGCTGTTGCTCAGTTGCTGCCGCTGGCTACTGCCAAACTGCTGCTGGATTGCTTCTGAACTACTACCACTAGGCTTACGTCATTCCAAGTGACCTGAAGTCGTATCACACCTGCGTGCGCGCAGTGTATCGTTTAGATTTTGATAGTTCTTTTCTTTATTTGACTGGCTGTTATTGATTTGAATACTGTTTCATCGCTGTGGGCAGTGTATTGTTGACATGATTCTACTTAACCCTGTACGGTATTGATTGCAATCTTTATGGTGGTGCCATTGTCAATAGTTCGGTGAGAGGCGTGCCCATTGAAACTTATCATATTTAGGTTCTGTATGGTTCCGTCCCCTGCTGAATCTGTGCCTGCTGGAATCTGCCTGCTTGTGCTCGGTTCTGCCCGCTTGCGCTGGGTTCTGCGTGCTGCTGCTGGGTTCTGCCTGCTGTTGCTGTGTTCTGCCTGCTGATGCCTGCTGCTGCCTGCTGCTGCTGGGTTCTGGGTTCTGCACTCTTGTGCTGGTTTTGCCAGCTTGTGGCGGGTCCTGCCTGCTTGTGCTTGATTCTGCCTTGTGCTTCTGGGGCCTGCCTGCTGCTCCTAGGTTCTGCCTGCTGCTCCTAGGTTTTGCCTGCTGCTCCTAGGTTTTGCCTGCTGCTCCTAGGTTCTGCCTGCTGCTCCTAGGTTCTGCCTGCTGCTTTCTGCCTTGTGCTGCTGGGTTCTGCCTTGTGCTGCTGGGTTCTGCCTTGTCCTGCTGGGTTCTGCCTTGTGCTGCTGGGTTCTGCCTTGTGCTGCTGGGTTCTGCCTTGTGCTTCTGGGTTCTGCCTTGTGCTGCTGGGTTCTGCCTTGTGCTGCTGGGTTCTGCCTTGTGCTGCTGGGTTCTGCCTTGTGCTGCTGGGTTCTGCCTTGTGCTGCTGGGTTCTGCCTTGTGCTGCTGGGTTCTGCCTTGTGCTTCTGGGTTCTGCCTTGTGCTGCTGGGTTCTGCCTTGTGCTTCTGGGTTCTGCCTGCTGCTGCTGGGTTCTGCCTGCTTGTGCTGCGTCAATGCGCGATGCCCCAATGTGCGCAATATTTTGCCTGTAGGCTTCCCCTTCATGTGATTCAACCTTCCGATTTTACTTTCCGGGAGTTTGCTGCTGCCAGGGCTCGGATCTCGTTTGCATCTCGTTTTGATCTCGTTTTTGATCTCGTTTTTCCAGGCTTAGATTTCCTGGTCCTTTCCCCTTCCCTGCCCTTCTTTGGTTGCTCTTTGGTATCTTTGGTTGGTGCTCTTGCCTTCCTCTTGCTCTCTTCTTTGGGCAGGTGCTGCTGGTGGATGTTTGCTGCAGTTGGTCTCTCTCTTTGCTTGGTCGTTGTTTCTTGTCTCTGCCTGTCCAGTGCTGCTGGGTGGGAGAGGGGTGAAAAAAACAATTACTTTACTTCGAGTGATCCCCACCATGACATTTACACGTTTTGTTACTGGCAAATCTTCTGGCATTCTATCTGACATATCTTTTGGCATTCGATCTGGCATTCTATCTGGCATATCTTCTGGCATTCTACCTGGCAAACATTCCGGCACTTTATCTGGCATACCTTGTGGCATTCTATCTGGCATATCTTCTGGCATACCTTCTGACATCCTATCTGGCATTCTATCTGGCAAATCTTCTGGCATTCTATCTGGCAAACATTCTGGCACTTTATCTGGCATACCTTGTGGCATTCTATCTGGCATATCTTCTGGCATTTTATCTGCCATATCTTCTGGCATTCTATCTGACATTCTATCTGGCGTTCTATCTGGCATACCTTCTGGCATTCTATCTGACATGCTATCTGGTGTTCTATCTGGCATATCTTCTGGCATCCTATCTGGCCGTTGAGGTCCAGTGGTGCTCACTGAGCTCGGAAGGTCCCAGGCTGAGGTCCAGCGGTGCTCACTGAGCTCGGAAGGTCCCAGGTTGAGGTCCAGCGGTGCCCACTGCATGCGGAAGTTGGCGAAGAGTTGGCAAGGCGGACGGCAGTTGAGGTCCAGCAGTGCCCACTGCATGCGGAAGTTGGCGAAGAGTTGGCAAGGCGGAAGTGGACCTGGAAGTGGATGCAAAGGTGGTGGAGGAGAAGCTGGAGGAGAAGGAGGAGGAGGAGAAGGAGGTGGAGGATGAGGAGGAGGAGGCAGAGGAGGAGAACAACTGTGATAAAATCTAACAACCCTCACCTGGCAGGTGGGGAAATAGGGATCAAAAAAAACAAATAGGGCTCAAAAAACAAACAAGGATCAAAAAAAACAAACGAGAAAGGAAGGAAGGAAGGAAGGAAGGGGCAGGAAGGAAGGAAGGAAGGAAGGAAGGAAGCAAGGAAGCAAGGAAGCAAGGAAGCAAGGAAGGAAGGAAGGAAGTCAGGAAGGAACCCAAGTGGTGGGTGCTGTTGAGGCACATCAGGCACATCATGCGACATGCAGGTGAGTAGGAGACAAGTGGGACACCAGTGGAGACAAGTGGGAGACAAGTGTATAACATTGTATACCCAGGCGGCCCAGAGCAACCAGACCGTAGTCGGTCGAGCATGCCAGGAATGCAAGCCCGGAGGCAGAAGCAAAATAATGCGACCCAGGACTGCAACCTTTTCAAAGGAGTAAGAACTTACAAACTGCATTGGCCTCTTTCTGTGTGAGAGGGCCATAGCTACCCAGTATCTATTTACAGAATTCTTATTGAGAACCCCATACAGATAAACCTGTTTGGGGAAGAAAGTGGGCAAAGAAGAAACAGTGAATCGCAAGCACAGGGAAGAGAAAAAAGGGTGAAAGTGAAAGGTTCTGATTTGGAAAGGGTTATTTGACGCTTGCGTTCTGAATGGGGGAAGGCCCAAAGGCATGACTTAGGCATGACTTCTTGATGTTGCGTTCACAAGCGGGGAAAGCAAAAGGAGTGACTTAGGCATGACTTTGTCAAACCCCTGTATCTTGGAAACTTAAGCAAGAGAGGGTGATTGTTTGACTGGTATGTTGTGGATGTTGTGGGCAGTTGTGGATGGTGTGGTCCCGTCAAACAACTGATACACCTGCGCTAAGTCTATCAAAATGGTTTCGAAGAAAACTAGGGTTCCAATCTCCAATAACTTCAATATACTTGTATTTATATATATATATATTCTGATCTTATCTCCAATTTGTATGACTGATGTTCTCCATTTTTTGTCAACCCCAGTTTTGAGACCAGCCCCAGGTCCTTCCCCTGCAACAGGACAGTTTCTGTCGGCATCACGGAAGATATCCCACTTTTTGGGTTGACAAATTCTGTATTGATCAGCGAGCCCTGGCAGATGGTTTGCGAGTTTTACCCGTCAATGTACCTTGGGCATCTGCAAGTGGGGTGGTCTTTCAGATGGAGACCCACTTTGATACACGCAAACTGCTGCATTTTGGTGGTCCCCAGGTTTGGCAGCCTTGATATTTTGATCATGATCCTGATTGTGTGAGCAAGTTTCTAGGTTGCTGTACACATGCACTTTATTTTCACGTCTGCAGGAAGCACGCCCAGTGCCACCCCAGCCTGTCAGGTGATGTCGTGCCGAAAGGTGCTGTGTCTTTGCGGAAAGACATTTCCCCGACGTCTGTGGCTTCTTGACACGCACCTCAATGGGCTGAAGCTGGTCACAAAGAGATCCAGGATATTCCAGGATCAGATAAGTAAGACGCCCAACCAGAAACCAGACCCAATCTTGCAATTTGGAGGGTGCTATAAACCAACTGAGTTCAGGATTCATTTTTAATTACTTGGATCAATAATAAGTATTAATAAGATTTCATAAGTAATGTATAAGTGGATGTATCAATAATAAGAAATGTAATCATAGAAATATAAGTAAGCAACTCTCCCTTCAGCAAATTCTGGGAAACACAGCCGAAAATAAGATGACTGAATTTATCAATGGCAATCGTCACGTTTCATCACTTTTCAGGTTGTAGATTGATGGAAATGGATGATTTTGATGGAGGGATATGGACACACCCTCCATGAGTGTCCAATTTCGGAGCTCAAGCCTGGCTTTTTAGATGACCTCGAGAGATCCTGTGGGTTCTGATGAGATTCTGATGAGGTGCAATGAGAGGGACACATGGATAATAGATGATGATATCAACATATCAAATCAACACACAACATATCATTATATCATTGCGCCAGACTCTTTCAGAAAGTACGACAGTATGACTCACATGCAGGTTTGTGATTCCAAATATGTCAATGTTCCATTCTACATGGTGGATCATTTTTCGGGGGTGGGTTCAACCTGCAACATGACCAAGCAGCGGGGGTTCCATTTGATGTTCCACTTCCAGGACTTTTGTGGGGAAAACATGTTGTGGCACTTGATCACCCATCAGACCGTCCAAACGAGCTTCCTGGACAAGCTCAGGTGTGCCTGGGAACTCTGCGTGTTGCTGTCTTTTACCTCCATGGCGCTTTGGCTTCAAAGATCTTCAGCCCTTCATGTTCAGATGTGTTCAGAGGTGTTTTAACAACGAAGAGATCCCCAAAACTGGCAAGGTAGTCCTCCTAACTCATTTGTTTCGGTCACATGACTTAAAGACATTTAGAGATCACTTTTCGGAGGATTTGTACCACAACTACATGTGTACATCTCTTTCCCTCCTGTACTCGAACATACTCGAACTACATGGCAAATCCCAGGTCCCAAGTTTCCATTGCAAAATCAGCCATAATCCATCAACAGATATGATCTATGGATTCCTATGGGGGATTGTCCTTTTCCAGGTTCAATTTCCACTGGGTGTGTATGGGTTTGCCTTAAAATGAAGCCAACCGCAAGATTGCCACTTTCGAAGGTGATCAATTGATGGATATGATGAACATTGATAAACCATCGAATTTAGGGGCACCCAATTTTTCAGGCAGACCGGGCAGACCCATATCTTCCATTTCCATTCACGAGGAACAAGCCATGAAGCAGCTGGTGGTGGTATCACTGAGCAACGAGGCCCTCAAGCAGCTGGCTCATTTCGCTCCTTGGCAGCAGCTTTTGGAGGAGAGATGCATTTCTTGTGACTTTTTACGGCAGGAAGTTGTGTTTTTTTTTTTGTGGCGGGTTGAAACTTACTTTTTGTTCTTATAATATACGAGAATATACGAGATACATCTAACTATAGAGGGTGATGACATACCCCCTTATTAGCCCTTTCTATACTAACTTCAAGTAACCCAAAGGATCATGCAAGGACCCCGATAATGCTGAGCCACTGGCAGCTACTCAAGGATTGCTCCAACTCTGGTTGTCACGACCCCAACGAAGAGTACCGCTTGCGGCGGGTGATCGACGCCATTGGCAAGGAACGATTTGAGAACAAGCCCCTTGGCGCACTGTGAGGCTACCCATTTGTTGTGAACCCACTGAGTCCATAACCCCTGGCCCCAGACCACCACCACCACCATGACCACCACCATCACTCTCACCAATCTCATTCCGCTTTTATCGCCTTTTTTTCTTTCTCATCGCAAATCAGTACCCCTAGGTATTCTTATTACTTGTGGGCCCCATCTTGGGCCTCAACAAAATGCTTGAACCCGCTTGAAACCGGGAGACATCGGGAGACTAAGGATCCGAACACTGGGTCAATTGATTCTGGACCGCGAGACTGGCGGTGCGCAAGGTGGGCCAGACCCCTGGAACACCGGGTGGAAGGGAACCACCTGGGCAGGGGTCACAGGAAATGAGACGAAACGGGAAATTGGATGAGATTGACCCGGTCTCGCTGTGGATGTGAAAGAATTTAAATCTTAACTGCAGGTGTACTTTGAATCCATCATCGACCATCGGAACTGTGCTAATTAGGATATTTCACTTTGTCAGCAACACCACTACAGATGCTTCACTCACGACATTATACATTGTTGTTGTCGAAAAACATGGCTTGTAAGCACTTGATTGCTTCGATACCCACTGGCTGAACCCATCCCTGTATCATGAGGCCGGAGTCCCAAAAGGACATATGTATGCTGGATCGTGCATTCTCAAATCGTCCAGAGAAGTCATACAACATAGTTATTAGAATCAAGTCTGGTTTATTTAAATTAGGGATCCTGGCGTATAAACATGTTTCTTTAGAAACTAATTATATATATAGTTCTCAGAACCTATTCCATGTTTATCCATTTTTTATATATAATTCTCAGAACCTATGATTCCATTTTTTCCATATCGTTTGCTTCTGGGTTAAACATATTGCTTCGAATTGGGTCTTGCAACTTATTGCTACATATTTGTATATATTTGTTGCATGTGCTGTAAATCATGATATTGTTTCACATTATGTCTAAACATGATTATGTCATGTCCAAACCTTTTATCTCCAAGATCCCTCCTTGCCCGGACATGGAGCACACCCACTGTCATTTGGCACAAACCCTGTCAGTGAAGTTTGAAAGCGAGGTGCCAAGCCGCAGCATTCGATGAAAACAACCTTTTTCCATACACACGTACGTACATACATACGCCGCTTGATCAGCGCGTGGCTATACTTATATAAAATTTTTGTGCCTTGGGTTCGCCCGCGGGCACCACAAGAAACTTTTTAGTTTCGATGCTAAGACAAAAAACATGTTTTTCTGCGGAAACCCAATGAATATGTGCGTGCATATATGGATATATATGTACAATAAGACAGCACAGCACAATCCGCGCACGCAATAGATGTTTGGTGTTTGGTTGTGAAAAAAAGCGGCTGTAGCATACGACAGCAGAGAACATGGTTGGTGCATTCCCTTCTCCAAATATCACTAGGCATGACTGTTAGCACTGTTAGTGCATTGTAGCTACACATGGTTTGTCCCTTGCTTTTGTTACGAGGTATGATTCGACGATCATATCACTGTCACTGTATCTGCAAATGATGGGCTCAATTCATCAAACCGAAGGTTCAGATCTTTTTGTCTTGAAAAACTTTTGCAAAGGACGAGAGTTCCATAGGTGGATTAAAGAAGATAGATCGATGTGGCACACGGCATTGCTTCAGCAGGTAGGGCAGTACAGCAGAGAGCCGTAAATCAGCTGTTAACAAGCAGCTACTAGCAAGTTAGCTATCAGTTATCATTGTATCATCACTGTCATTATCATGTATCAACTAAACTATACTGTCTGTGGCCTTTGGTTCAAGATTCATGGCTTAAGACCGTTCCGACGTCTACGCTGTAACATGCCACAAGTAGTCAGGGTACGTGGATTTTATCATGTCACAGCGTAAGCACGCAGCGGTGTAATACCTTTACTTCTATGTTGTATGTTTCATGAAACATGACTTCGGCTGTACATCTTGGGAATATGGCCTGGTTTGATGAATCTTGCAGATTTTAATTGCATGATGCAATACTTTCACTGCTTTCTGGCAAGTATTCATCTTTTCACCGGAATAGACAATGTGGCAGAATGGGTTTCTACATGTTTCTACGTTGGATGTTTTCCTGCTGGAAACCGGCCCTGGAAAGGACTGCAGCTTTGTGATCCACTCCACCCCCATGCCCAGTAGCCCAAGTCATTTTGAATTTAGGTTCTGAGATTTGAGAAATAGTTTCAGAACATTTATGTTGGCGAAATTATAGGTAGAATGGTAGAAACGGTTTCTGGCACCATCCATAAGCTATTTCGGGGCTTAATTTTCCTCCATGGTTTACGATGTTTTTCCCCACAGGACAGCCAGAAAGAGCTGAGTGCAAAGTCCCAACAGCAAATCAACAATGCTTTTATCCGCTTGAACACGCACGCGGGGCCCAGCCCACAAATACGCAACTGCCAGGACATCCCGTCAAACCCCCTTTAACTTTCCCACAGAAGTTTAAGTAAGGCCACAAGTTATTTTAAACCATGTTGAAACTTGAAACTTTGGTAATTAAAGTACAGTATTGGCTTCTATGCCAACATCTCTAGACTTTCTTGACTTTATGGGACTCTGTCTGACTCATGTTGTCTATGTTTGATTTTCTTGCTCATCTTGAAAAAAGACAGTCATTTCATGAGGCTATAAACCAGACAGGCAGGAACCTTCGGAACCGCTCCTACCTATTTGGGCACAAAACAGGTAGAAACCGTTTCTACCGTTCCGCGCTATTCATTATGCTTTAAAAACGCAACAGATTAGGACCCGATTGAAACCGTTCGAAACCGTTTCTGGAACCTGTTTGTAACCATAACAGGTAGAAACCGTCGGAACCGTTTCTACCTGTTTTGAAAACACGCATAACTTTTGAATTGTGGTAAACTGGTAAAGGCATCGAGGTTGCTTAAAATAGAATATCAACTGTTGAATACGGTGCAATGGTAAAATTGTAAGTTAAAAGTGTTGAATTGAAGACTGTAAAATGTGAACATATAACTTAGTTGCACGGTTTAACTTGAAACTTTTCGGTTTTCTTGGTTGTAATCTTACTTTATATTTTTTGAAGCGAGCGACATGTCACTAAGTATGTTTTTTAAAGTGGAAAATGGTGGAAAATGTGTGCACCAGTAGGTTATTCACTTGACTCGTTCATTACCCAACAGGTTTTTATCTTCATACAAATCATGTCCTCATGGGTACGTTACGGCATATTCAAAAGTTAAGTTCTCATGACTCCTGTGGCTATAATGATCTTAATAAAGTGTTATCAGTTATCAAAGCAAACCAATCACTAATTTTCAGCGCCTATTTGCTGCCTACTTGAATCTGCTTCACTAAAAAGTATGATTATACAGATCAATGCAGCACAGCCTGCCTCCCATCATGCCGTATTGACGGCATGCAGTATGCTGGTACCTATCATTTCATGTAACGAGGGTAATTCGCAACACCATTCTATCCACACAGTTTTGTGGCAAACATCTCACGACATAACTGTATATAAAGCGGTATGCCGTAAATGATGATATTGAGTATGTGGCCGATGTTTGATGGCAAATTGGAAAAAAATACTTGCAGCTTATTCAGAATTTAAGATGTTCTTGTTTACTAATCCGAAGTTTAAAGTCAACCTAATTTAAAACCCCTGCAACGTATCGTACTGGGATCACTGGACCAAACACACAGTGTTCCACCAAAACCATCCAAAACCCAGTTTCAATTATAGAATGCACTTGGAAACAAGAAATAGATATACCCCCCCGAGTCCAACATCAAGGCCACTCAGTTTTGTTGACCTTTATAAAACCGACCCATACCAAGCAGTACAGTTGATAAATTACTGCGTGGGCAAATCTGCCATGTCTTGCTGGATTTTGGCAGATATAGGTTCTGAAAAAATAATTTCGGGAGAATATACTGTAGAATATTCTGTATATACCTATTATATATTTTAATATATATATATATACATAATAATTATATATATAAGATATGTAAAATCAATTGAAATCATCATTCTCTTAGCCAGGTTTGCTGGTGCCCGATGTGCCTGGCATCAACCTGGCCGATAGTTTCAGCCCCGGCATGGCGCAGTCGAGCTGCTCTGGCTCGGTGGAGCCTGGCGTTCTGGACGCAAGCGATGTGATGTGTGGGTTTGATGTGGTTTTGATGGCATAAACGGAAGGATGCCCCAATTACTTGGAGAATACCCTGCAATATGATATTTCAACTATCTTCAAGTCGTTTCTAGTGTGGTTTCAACCCATTCTGAACTGAATATAACTGAATATGTTATTCCGTCAATGCGGAAGTGTATGGAATAAAACTGTAAAATCCAAGTGTGAATTGATTAACGGTTTCTCTGAGTAAAACGGGTGAGGAAGGGATGCTTAAGTTTTGTTGCAGAAAATATCCAGCTTTGGCCATCTTCTGAGATCCAACACGGCAAAAATATGTTTGCATGTTCTGCAGTAAGCCGTCTACCATTTTGGAATCAGGTGATTAATTAATTCTAGCCTATCTGAAAACAATCCAGGTACAGGATAGCGGAAAATTGTGAATTTGGAGGTGATGTGTAAGATTTGTGGCCGTCAAATTCAGGAAACATTGTAATTAATTGTAATAGATTGTAATTATTCAGGGACTGTGTCAGATTCATTTCTCCGAAGACAGATCAAGAATGGGCAATAATTAAAGTAAAGTAGTCCATAGCTGTGAGTTTGACCGAGAAGGAATCCTCAGTCGTGCTGTTTGCTTTGAACCAAATCAGGTTTGGACGGTGAGGAGGATCCTATGGTGCAAATCAGCTTCTAATTTGCAGCTTGGTCTTCAATCATGGCCATACCAGGGAAGGCCTGAGTGCTGTGGCCATGTGCGCACGACTTTTTGGATTGTTAAACTCAAAGTCAAAATCTCCTCGTCTCTACTGCAATCACAATGTGGCCAAAGACAATACCACCCTCATAGTGACAACACCTGGTCAAGAGACCTTCAGTGACATACCGATTTTTCCAGTGTTTTGCAGTCGACGTTGTCAGTTTTATTGACATGTTTTGTGCGCAAGTGCCTCCATGTTTTCTGCATCCCGAAAATCCCGATATCCAATTCGCTATATATTAAATTAATATACTGTAGTATATACAAATTAATTATAGATACAAATTTATATAGTATACATATGCATACTGCATCACTGCATTCTGTATATGCTGTAAAAGATTGATATCACGATATCATGTAAACAGATATGTGTATGTATGTATATATATATAAATATGAATTGAATATCCAGTATGATATGCATGTTCATTCCATGGACATTTTCTCAGTCCAGGTCTTTATTTCTTGAACCCGGAAGCCGAGCCGGTTGGCAACTGATGGTGCTCTTCCGGTTTTGATGTGGTCTTAGCATTTCTTATCCATCCTGGTGCCTGATGCCAAGCATCTCTTAGGCACCCAATAATGCTTATTGGTGATGCACACCCTTGCTGGACGGGGCTGAAGATGGCTGAAGTATACCACAATCTTGATGTAACATGCTGGGTTTGCACTTGGATGCTAGCTTTTGAAAAACGAACCATCCACATCAAATATCAGTTATATATTTGTCTATATGTATCAAACATGTTGTCTTCCCACGTATGGCCAGGAGACAGTTGCCATTTGGGTCAGCTCATGCGCAGGGCATGAGACAGTCACATCTTTCCCCCCGGGCCCAGTTCATCTGAAAATTCAGCAGACATCTCGCACTCTAAGATCCAAAGAGGTCGAACAAGCGGTAGAAAACGCATGTGCATATGTTATATGTGTATGTCGCTTTGATATGTATGTATTGTACTGTATAATGCGTATAATATATATTATACATATATACATTAATATACATGATGTGTTGATCTCTGACATGAGACATGCGTGTATTTGCTTACAGTACACACCGTATGTATATGTTTTCATATATTGTATATTATTATATATATGTATATATTTGGTATACATGTTATACATATATATATATATTATCATATATACATATGTGTTTACGCGTACATACATAGTATGCAGTACATTCACTTTTCTTTACTACAGGTGCACCTGGTCTGGGGTTGTAAACATCCAGATTGTTGCTTATGGCTCGGTTCTAGTAATATGTCGTGTATTGTAGGTGTACAGTTTATGTGCATTGAATAACAATATATTATACTAAATACTAGGTCATGCATGCCTGAGCTAGTGTACAATGTACATCCATGTGTCAAAGTTCTTACACTTATTTTCAGTTTGGATCTTGAAAGGGCCGAGATTGCCACCTTTGTGGCCAGAGCACGACATCGTCGAAGGTCCTGAAAAGGAAGCATTTGGAAGCACCCGGGGCCTGAACACGATGAAAACATTTGAAAACATAGCAAAAGCATATGTAAAATCAGAAAGATGTTAAGGCTGTTAAGGCTGTTAAGATGACTAGTGATGGATAGTATGATAGTGATGGTGTAGATATGAGAGGATGCTCAAGTTCATTTCCCGAATGGCCTAAATGTTATGTCATCTTCCCATGAACAAAGTCTTCCACTTTGATGACTCAATGGAATTGGAAGATTCATGACCCAAAGGGCGCGAGATTGAGGAGCAAGAATGTAAAACCGGTTTTGAACATGCTGAGCCACCAACAGGCAAAATGTAACAGGCAAGATATATATATATACATACAAGTATACAGCATATAAATATATAAACGAGTGATAGCCTGTACTGGAAGTCACCCAAAACCAGTATTTGATCCATACTAAGAACCCTGAAATATTGAATCATTAAATCTACTGTTTTCAAAGCGACAGGGTGGGTGGTAGTTGTAACTTTGAGTCTCAGCAGATCTCTAGTAAAGGGATAAAGCACCTAGAGGCCAGTTGTCTATTGTGCCCCATCTTGTCACAAACCAAAAGATTTTGTTTTGACTAGTACTGGTCATTCGTGTTTGTCTCTGCTGATCCTTAGAAGCGGAGATGTTGCTGTCTTTTTCGTGAGTGGTGAGAGGTTCAAATTCAGTCCAGCAATTAGTATGCGGATTGTTTTATGTTGCTGCCCTACCATGGGGCGAAACTCAATGAATGTTCCACTGGGATGACTCAAGGAAAATCTGCACCAAAGAGCATGTGATGTTTGTGAACCGTCCAATTGTTCTTGTTCCTGTAATAGGTGTTCCCCTTCCAACACTACATCCAACATTTCTAGGGAACGGTAGTCCATATGTGTTTTTGCATCCAACATCATCCAAACATTATCGAATATGTTTCATTTACGTTTCATGAGTGATTTGTCCTGCAGAAATATCCTACAACAGCTGTTTCTCGCAACCAGCTGAGTCAGCTGAGTTTCTGTTTCCAGCTGAGTCCTCTCTGGGCACTCAGGTCCCTGAGAACGACACATGCCAAGACTGCCTTGGAGGTGGTTCTTCGACTCTTCGTAAGGCTCAGCCTTTGGAAACATTTGGGCACTGGGCTGATCCGTTGATGTTGATATTTGTGGTTAGTAACTGGGTTGTAAAATGTTATAATGTGTTATAATATGTTATACCCATTTATACCCCCTGTGTAACTGGTATGTTGGAAACACTAGCAAATCATTAAAGAAGTTTCGGGATCATTCAACAACTCGGAAGCATGGCAGAAGTGGAGGATCCGCAAACCCGGTTTGAAGATTGGACGTCACCTAGTGCTGAGATGTACTGAGATCATTGCTGATGTTTCCGTAGAAGATCCATGATGTGGCTATGCTTCGAAGTGGCACAAGATATTGGTAGATCCCAGAATTTTGGTACCCCGCCCTCGCCATAGCCATATTTGCACATCCTTGCAAGATCTTAGGAGTTTGAGCGATACTTCATGGTGAAAAAAGCACTTGGTTCAGAAATCCCAGAAAGAGAAGTTCCATTTATAGATTTTATAGCGGGGTTTTAACCAAACTCAACTGCGCAGTTACTGTACTACTTGAGAGAATCCTGCATATCTTTGTAAAATCCTAGCTAGCTCTATTCCTCTTTTGATCACTTAAATCCTCGTTCAAATCCTGCACTTTTCATCATTTTCCCGCAGTTTTTGGTGGGAATAGCTGAGCCCATGGAGATTCACCCACACTGCAGGACGTCGCAGTGCAACCCGGATCCGGAGTTCTTTACAGTGCGAGTGCACCTGTTGCAGGTGTGCCAGCATGATCATTGGCGGGATGGGTTGCGTGCAAAATGATGGGTCAATATCCACCCGAAACATCCCGGATACCCAAAATTGGCGAATTTAGGTACAACATGATGATAAACCATGAGATTTTTGGGTACCTGCAACTGCCTTGCAGTGCAAAAGCCAAACAAAAATACGCGATTTGATGTTCGCATGCATTGAAGTCATTGAAGTATTAAGGCATTCAGCCAAACAATTACGTGGGATAAACAAAAATGATTCACTAGAATATCCCCTGCGGAAAAACATCTTCCAGGGTGGGGGGTACCATGGTTGTTTTTGGCAGGGTATGTTGCCTTCCTGCAACACTATGAAGAGCTTTACTGGGGTCACCTGATATACTATACTGATCTATATTGCAATACGATGGTGGCACCACCAATGAGTCACGATCGTGATTCATCCATAATTGAGAGCTCGCACGAGCTGGCCTTGCAGTGTATGATCACTGTCAGCTGTAGATATTATATGATATTATATACAATTACAATTACATCATACCTAACAAGAAGGCCAGGGAATGGTTCAACAAGAACGCAAGGGAATGATTTGAATAGGAGATAGTAATATAGTAGGAGATTATAGGGGGTATCTTCGTCGAACTTTGCGATATGAAGAATTACTCAAACATCCCACTGTTGGATGTCTCCATCAAGAGATTGACGTTCGCCTTAAGCACGAGATTACCAGTTTTGTTGTGATCAAACATCTATTATATATACAGTATATATATATATAACTATATAACTATATCTATATACATATAATTATCATTACCTTGCCCTATCCCAGGCGTGCTTGCGGTTCCTGAAGACTGCAGGGCGCAACCTCCAGGATTGGCCTGGATTCTCAGTGGCGGTGCAGTCTCCAAGAGTCACCTTGTACCGATGGACCATTCGCGACCCGGATGCTCCATGTCGTGTCCCATCCAACATGCGTCAATATGAATTAATATGAATTAATATGAATTAATAGTATCCCTTGACCAACTACCGTAACTATGATTGATCTGCAATGATGCCAGAAAGGTTGATCCACATGTCATGGCTGAACAAATTAGGATGCCAATGGATCCGCAAAAGAGGCTGGTCATTTGAGGGTCTAAGATGGTCTAAGCCATGCAATCTTGGGACATTCAGTAGGTTTGAGCCACTTCCCAAAGTATCACCTTGATTATTTTTTAAATGATGTGCCCAAAATGTATTGCTATATATATTTATGTACTCTAATATGTATAATAATATACGTACAAGAATCTATGCATAGATCATGTTGATTGTTGTCTCAGTGACATTTGTAGATATGGATTCATTCAATTGTTACAGTCAGTCGTCGCAGAGAAACACCAATTTGATGATCTAAAATCTGGTGAGGCATTTCTTAGCAATTCTCTGGTTTTACATCAGGAAATATATATTATGTATATATATATCATATTATATCATACAGAGTATGTATAGAAATGTATTACATGTCCTACCGCCACTGGTGCCGTTGCGTCGGCTATGGCCTGCGGTAACAGCGGCGCTATTTGAGGCGCCAACACCACCTGCGCACCAAAAACGTGGCCCAATCTGTGTTGACAGCCCTGCAGTGCGAGGAGCGGGCCTTGGAAGACAAGTGATAGGTACCCTGATCTACCTGGAGCCTGGGTAAGGCTGGGTGGTTAGTAGGTTTGTAGCTATATCTCGGGGGAGATGTACTATTTGGATAGTCACAGCCATATACGTTATTTGGTACACCGGTATAAACCAGTTTGCACTTACTCTCTCCATGATAGTGGATAGATGTGGATGGACTAATCTTCTAGGTGTCTACTCGTAGTATACTGAGTATGTACATTAGATCGAACTTAGCAGACTCTGAAGAAGTATCGCCATGCTCCACGAAGCCAGAGATCTAACTATGGGAGGCAACAGCCTTGTCAATTTCGTGTGGAATCGCGAAATGCTGCAGACATCTCAACCCAGATCATGCGAGTATAGTCCAGTATAGTATGTTTACATGAATTATTGTAGGCAGGTACACCACCTCTTTAACCGAGCAAAACAACGAGAACTCAGTACTCAGCTACTCGCATCACGTATCTGGGTATCCGCATCTTTGACCTTGACCATTCCCTGCCTTGCCTCAATTTGCCGCCCCAGACATATTGGATGCTTACAGCAACCACGAAAAATCATCCATCCAACCCTTCATTTTTGATGATATTCGCATGTTTGTTGGTTAAACCGTTAGAGACCCTTAGAGCAACCACTGCAGGATCGCTTCACCTTGGACATGCCAGACATC